TATACCTGGAGTCATCTACAGCAGCTCACGTCAATTGAGTTTGTTCATACTTAATTTGGTTAAGCCCCTTTGTTAACTTATTTAACGGACAGAGTCATTCATACAATAACGACCTATCTGTACTTTTGTACCTTTATTATTGTTGCACTTGTATGAATATGTATACTTGAGCATTGCTTACTGCCTACGCATATATTCGTTTTACTAGCCTTAGTTGCCTAATTGATTAGATGATTCATTCATCTCATTATGTATATATGTGTACATTTTAATCCTGTTCACTGACTCGCACACTCGTTCATTAACTTGATCACTCGCTCGCTTTTCAGCACTGCTCTTTCATGCTTGCTTGACGTGTCTGTAATTTTGGATATCTGTGCTTGGTTTATTAATAAACGCAATCAACACTTTGTATTGGCCTTTTGATTTATACACCGTTGCGGCGTTATCGAGTAATGGTTATCAAGTCGAACAATATTTGAAGTTTGAGGATAATACCGAGTACCGACCACCACATATCTGTGATCCACCGTCACTAGATGCGGAATCCCGTGAAGCGAAAGCTTCTTTTATTTCATCCAAAATAAATTACGAGCATCTGAAGTTTGGATTAACCATCTCCACAACAGTTGTAAGCAGCAGATAAGGAAAGAATAAGCTTTAGTTATTACAGGTACAGAGTAAGTTATGTTGGAAGTAATATCATGAAGTAGTCTTGAATAGGCTGACTTCCTTGAGTTTTCTGGAGTAATGTGGTTCCATTTAACCGTTGGTGTAGCTGAGCTCATCCAGAGATTATTAGAGTTAGCTTAATAAAAGCCGAAGTTGAGTTTTTCCTGAAACCAACTACGCATAGAACACCATCCAAATACTCAAAAGGAAGAACGCACTCACGCAGTAGCATAGCAGGCCACAAGTTCCCAGTTTCGTGTCTTTAAAACAAGAACTGATTATAACGACAGGTCAGTTATCTTTTCATCGATACAAGGAGAGTGAAAGCTCAGAACCTAATATTTATTTTGAGCATGACATTGGGTGAATAAAACAGCTAGTAAATCAGCCAATACCTCAGGATATCACCAGCGTCACTATGCCAAAGGTGTATAGAATAGGCAGCTAAGTGAACTTGAAACAGAATCAAACCAGGCTGCTTAAGGTAGTATTTAAATGTCCTACTGAACGGGACGTATTGTCACAGGATAGACACAAACTAATGGGGTCAGGGGTTCTTGTCCGTAAGTAATTGCAGCCCGCAAAACTTTCAAAAAGACGAGAAGCCGAAAAAGAACCAAGACTTGAGTTAGATGCCGGGGGAAAGGACCTTACAATTGTAAATGTTCGGGTTATAATACCTTGACAGAGGGTGATGCCAAATCCATTCTAGGTGCAGGACGAAATCATTTAGATAGGGTTCAAATCTTTCACACAGTGCCCAAAGCTTACTCAATAAGCGATCAAATCTAGGTTTACAGATAAAAACTACCAAGCCTATTGTAATTACAGCCACAGAAACTTGGCTGGCGCTGTTTATACACAGTATGAAACTTGGTTTCGAAGGTTTCATGTTGGTAAGAGCCCACAAAATCCAGAATCATAATGGAGGAGCGGTTTTATTGATTAGCAGCACTATTCAATTTACCACTATTGTCAAGGTATCCCATGAGAGTGGTACATGCGAATCAGTTAGTTGCCGCCTGAATTGCAAGAGACAAGAGCAACTGATTGGTCGTTAAATAGATGAAATCAATAAAAGTAAGATTACATTCGTTCAAATGTCTTGGAGCTTTAATGATTAGGTTTATGATTAGTATTACAATCAGTACAGTTTTCAAAGTATTTTCCAAAGTGGCATCGCGTCTACGTTAAGCACCAGATTCAATTGTCTCAGAATTCTGGTCGAGCAAATATTTATGCAATACAGCTTCAAAGTTTATAGTTGTTTTAAAGTAGATTTGTAGAGCGATTAGTGTAAGGTACGACCTTGAGAAGACACTTATTTCACGTTTGTCCCAGGTGTCAGAAGCTCCATAGCTTTGCTTTTTGAGCGAGACTATGAAAAAGAGCATAAAAGGAAAAACAAGACACTTAGATATGAGCGCTAAACAATGCTCAACATTTTGTAGTGAAACAGACAGAGGTATGATAAATTACTAGATTAAATTCATACTAGCTTTTGTTGCTAGGGTGAAATGTGATTAGAGCCTCCAGATGAGAGAATGCAGTAGTAAAGAACCGAGAAATGAAATATTTAACAAGATAGAATAGGTCCAAATGATGGAAGGGAATTGGAAGTTAGAATAAGGAAGACTGTTTATTAGAACTGGAAGGGTATCGATGGAGTAAAGCGTTAAGAAAACTAATAACTACATCCTTTATTGTATGATTTTCTTAGTTTTTTTAATCTGATGTCAGCCAAAAAGTCCTAGGGTAAAAGTCCGGGTAAAAGTCCGGTTGTCATAGTGGAATAGCACCAGAACTGGCGTTCGGCTTAAGGTTTTTGATGGCGATGTGTATACTACTAAGATCAAAGTTAATGGTATCAAGAAAAGTTTTGCTAATGCATTTGGTGTTAATATCTGGGGCATGTACTGTATTTTGATTGTGGTAAAACTATTCACTTGACAGTTCACGTATGACGGTTTGGTCGTAATACGTCACACAACCGTGCAGTATGGAGTTCTTTGATCTGTGTTCATTCTTATGGGTTTTTAAAGGAGACGACATACGTTTCGAGCTTTAGATGCAATAGTGAGCTCAGTACGTTCCTCTACCTACTTATGTTTATAGTGTTGACTTGGCACCCTCTCAAGTACAGAGGATATATGGCGCAGGTCACTGAAGTCTTTTGATATATAGTACGTCCTTCTTAGTTTTTGCAGCTTAGACCTAGTCTTTTGGTTGATATGGAGAGTATTTGTTTTAAAAGCAATCTTAGATGAGATAGTAGTGTCTAGTGCAAATTTGGTGGCAGTACTGAATATTTTCAATGTTTCTAAGTGGTTATCACTGGTAAAGAAACTACTCCAGTCAGAGTGCTTTATTAGAAGTCGGAAGTTTTTCTAATCAGCGTTTGCATAGTTTCTATACTGGAAACGCGTATTTATTGTCTTTAATTTGTTGCACTTGACAATAATCGGAAAGTTGCAGGGGACTATTTTATGATCGATGTTTGAAACGTTTTGCCAAACACCCCTAATGTTGGTGTGACATTGTGATAGAAAATCAAGTCAAGAATGTTGTGATTAAGTGCAGGCAGGTGTTCATGTTGCTGCCAACCGCATATGTCTAAATACCTAAGTGTGCTTTCAAAGCACTTATATTGACCTGTTATGAGTATGGCATCGCCACCCCTCGGTAAAAGTGATCATGAAGTTCTGATCTTTGACTATAATATAGTTGTCACAAAAGAGTATGTGTCAACCCGACCCAGACCTAATGTCTGGAAAGCAAATATCGAAAATTTTGTACAAACAGCATTGCCAGTAGATTGGGTAATAGAGCCAGAGTACCCAAATGAAGCAACCATCTGTCATATAAGTTAAGAAATGTCGGGTTGGAGGCAGTTTATTAATGTGGATAAAAGATCTCCTAAATAAGCGTCAACAAAACGTACCGATAAACCCCAATTTGTCTTGATGGGAAATTGTGCTTAGCGGAGTGCCTCAGGGTAAAGTTTTGAGGCCAGTGTTATTCCTTTTGTATGCAAATGACCTTCCTCGTCTCCTATTATAATCGATCTTGTTGTATACTGACGATGTCAAGATGTGGAGAGCAATATAAGGTAAAGGTGATAGCTTGGAGCTTCAAAACGACCTGGAAAAGTTATCTGACCAGTCTAGAATTTGGCAGTTACTGATTAATGATACCGATTGCATTTTGACGCATATTGGTCATCAAGGTACAGGCACATACATGATAAGTAACATTAAGCTACCTGTTGTCCAGACACACAATGACTTAAAATTCATCGTCATCTAGGACTTAAAAATTACTGCGCAGTGCCGTGAAATAACCTTAGAAGGATTTGGAAACCCGTGGTCAATACGTAGGGCCTTTATCCATGTAGACTCTAAAACTTTCTCGACTTTGTACACAGTTATAGTGCGTCTAAAACTCGAGTACTGCACACAAGCAGCTAGATCCTGCTTAACGAAAGATAGTGAGCTTTTAGAAAAGATTCATAGGACATTAACTAAGCGGAGTTCCGGAATAGCGTAGCTCCCGTATGATGCTCGACTGGCTAAACTAAACCTATACCCACTGTCATGTCGAAGTACCAGAAGATGTTTGATTACAGTTTTCAAATTACTTAGCGATAAATTTGCATCTGATATGTTCTCATGTTTGTTGTCTTTTGAAAGCGAGTAGTTGCAAGGACACTCGAAAAAAGTTCACAAACCCAGAACAAATTACTTGTTAGCTGACTGTTGACTTTCCCATAGAATCATCAACGAGTGGAATTCATTACCTCAACACGTGTTTGAAGCTCTATCTGTTGAATCCATCAAAAGAAAGTTGGATCGGCTGAGAGACCACAATTGACAGGACTAACACAGGCCACCTAGCTCCCTTTCCTTTCCAAACTGAAACTGAATCTGATTTTGAATATGGACTTAATGAAGTTAGTGAAATGAGATGCGTACTTCTATCGGTTAATTCAAGGAAGCATTAAATTTACAAAGAATGTTTCTTGACACAAAGGCTCCACACTGTTAGTCGACATACTATCTTTCAAGAAAAATTGAATACCTGAAAAGTGAATCAATTTGCGTTACGCCACTGACCTTCATCGTATCCAACGCCTCCCATGAAGCCTATAGTGACATGTTCGTTAAATTATTTTTTGTCATGATAGTAATAGCTGTAGGTTGATGTGACATGTTTCTAGCTAACTTCGTAGGTTCTCTCATATGAAATATAACCGTGAAAATAAGGGAGAATTCCTATATAAACCCAAATAAAGTGTCTTCAGCACTAAACACCGAATATTCGTACGAGAAATGAAGAAGTCGAAGACATCAAATGTCATTTCAACCATATCTCAGAAACGACTGAATGAGATTCATGGATATTTTGCACGTATGTGATGTATATGTTTGAATGTCATGGTTAGGCCAAAATGGAATTAGACAGGAAACACATGAAAATGGGACCGCATTAGGATCAGTAAGACTGAACTTTGACTAAAGCAGTCCTTGTACTTAGTTAGGGTTAAGGTCAAAGCCCTCAGACAATGAAGCCATTATAGATTCCGTCTTAAAAGATGTCATTGACTTAAACCGTGATAAACTCTCAGAATCATCATTGGTAAAGGTCCTCACTTCAGTATATCTAGACGCGAAATCAAAGCTTGGGGCCGATGGTAAGATTATGCTTATTCCTTCACCATTTTCTAGTGTCACAGGATACAACACAGCAGGTACGTAAATACTTTTTACTTCTCATTTCAAGAGCTTGGTTCGCATCTCCCAGAATGCTGCTAAAATTCCTTTAGATTCGAAGATGCCCGATCCAAACAGCAAACGAAACCAATGTGACATGTCAGCCTCAGACAAAAACAAACATCAGTGGAATGAAGATGTAGGTAAGTATCGTTTGTCGATAATAAGTTCCCAAATATGTATCCAATTAGTATTAATCCTACTACTGTTTTAATTATAGCTAACTTGTCAACTTCAATTACTTACGACTTATGGAATAAACAACCTGATTGTTTGAATACACATGAGTTTCGTAAATTAGAAGCTTCAAATATTCTTCCGGATACTAAAGTTGATTTCCCAATCGGCAAATCTAATCCCGAGTCCACAGAAAAGCTTTCTAGTCCCAACACAATTAACAACAATCGAATGGGTAATGTCCCTGCTCTTACTCCCATGGCTTTTGGTTCCGGACAAGATTCTCACTTATCAAAACAGGTATGCAACCTTTCTCTTCATCTATTACTTAAAGCTCTCTGTATAAAAAGGTATTTTATTTGCTATCACTCTCTAGGTATTATTTTTCACTGGTTTAGAAATACCTAGGAGGTAACTTTCATTTCATGTATGTTTATTAGTAGCTTACTGGTCTACCTTTGAATTTAATGTTATGAAACACCAATGTATGCCGTCTCACAAACCGCACTTGTGACTCAGCTATTGAGTGCAGATTCACCTACTTTGAGACATTCATGTCTTGAAGCGGAATAATATCGATGCGCCAAACTCGAAGTAGATGACTTACGATTCAAACCTGTAACCTGTTGATTGGGATTGGATGGGTTAGTCACAAATTAACCACCCGACTACCATTGATCATAAAAGTATACTTCACTAGTTTTACAGTGGTCCACAAACTTCATAGATTGTTACACATATTTTCACATCTCTGTACCTATACTCTGACGTTTTTCTGCATTTCTGATCTTAATATCATCACATTTTTCATCATACATGGACAAGTTTTAACACAGACAGACAAATTACCAGGTTTTGGGATTCTAACACTCCGTTTTTAATACGCTCGTCTAACCGTTTGTTTCTTGCAAATCTCAACGGTGGACGTAGGAGGTTACACTGTCTGACTTTCTAACTGTCGGCAAACTAATTGTAGGTACAAAGGTAAAACTTCCGTCCATAACTTTTGAGGGTTGGTTGGAAACCCATTTTTCCCAAGCACATGTCTAAACTCTAATTATGTTTTCTAGCAGTGTTGTATGTTTGCGTCTTACTGGGTGACGAAAAATCACAACGAAAAGACTTATTCGATTTCAGCTCAGGGTTAAAAATATATTAAAAAAGTATTTAAAAGAACATTAGTTTGATGTAATTAGTGGAGCCGTCTAAGGGGTTTCAAAAGCAAATAAAATAGTTTCCAATCTTATGATCCCGACCGTTGCTGCTACCTTGACGTGGTGGTCGGGCTTGCCTATCGTGATGAAGCAATCGAGCTATGCTGGCTGGAACAATCGTTCCTCGAGGTCCTACCATGCCAGACAGGTCGGTTGAAGAGCGGTGAGACTAAAAGCAGCAAACCCAAGGTCCGAAGGCGAAGTCGTACTGTCGACTGTACAGAGGTGTGACGGCAGTAAGGTGTTTCCTTCAGGCAACCAGCATGACAGCGATGCTGCCTTCCCACAAGGAGGGGTGGGGTTAGAAGAGGTCGGCCCTAAAAATGCACACCTCGCCTTATCCCACGGATTTCCGTCTCCGGCGGTAAGGTTTTTTTGAAGAACGGAGCTAACACAAAAACTACCCACAAAAAGGTCGTGTGTGACCGACCTCAAGCTTAAATCAAACAGAAAGACATTTAGGTGGGTGTTTTAGTATTCCGGCTCAACGAACCGATAATGGTGATCGTCTGTTGCAACTATGCTCAGACAATCGTTTATTTTTAGCAAGCACTAATTTTAAACATAAGGAGAGACATCGTCTAACATGGCGACCACCTGCACCAAACCAACGATGGACTCAAATAGACCATATTGTCATCAGTCATCGTTGGAGAGGCTCAATAGAAGATTGTCGCTCGTATTGGAATACTTGTTTAGACTCTGATCACGCTTTAATATGAGCGCGCATTTGTCTGCGCCTCAATGGACGCAGGAAAAGTACACTAAGAAGACCCATTAGGATTGAACTGGAGGATGAGAAAGCCAAATGCGAATTCCAGAAACAACTAAGTTCACATCTAGGCAGTTCTGTAAACAAGACTGACACAGATGCTGCTTGGAAAGACATACGAACAGCTGTTGAAACAGCAGTAACATCTATTAGTCATTTAAACAATAGGGCTCCAAAAAACCAGTGGATTTCTTCTAAGTATATTTCACTGATGGATTCGCGTAAACTCATCCCATCAGGCTCTGAACATGACGAAGAGCGTAAAGAAATTAGATATAGGTTAACTAAATGTCTAAAGAATGATCGTGAGCAGTGGTGGGCAACGAAAGCAAAAGAGATGGAAAAGGCAGCGGCTGTAGGGAACACCAGGCAACTATTCAGACTAATAAAAGAAACCGGAATTAAGAAGTCAAGTGTAAGTGAGACAATCTCCGAAAAAGACGGAACCCTTATCTGCTCTCAGCCCAAACGTTTAGAACGATGGGCGGAACACTTTAAGGAGCAGTTTAGCTGGCCTTCAGCTACTGCACAACTACCCACTATTCCTAGAAAACCTGAATGGAACATTGAAGTAGGCCCCCCGACCCTAATCGAAGTTCAAAAGGCTATAGGTAATCTGAAAGGAGGAAGAGCAGCTGGTCCAGATGGATTGGCTCCAGAGGTCTTTAAATATGGTGGTCCGATTTTAGCGATTAGGTTGACTAATATTCTGGCTAAAATCTGGGAGACGGATGTAATCCCATCCGCCTGGTCACAATCACTGATTGTCCCAATATATAAAAAGGGGTCAAAATCATCCTGCGATAACCATAGAGGGATTAGTCTGACCAACATAGCATCTAAAATACTAGCCTCAATAATTATCGGGCGCCTAACTAAGACTCGTGAACTGCAAACACGAGAAAATCAGGCTGGCTTCAGACCTTGTGGCTGTATCGACCACATATTCACCATTCGTCAAGTCTTAGAGCACAGACACGCTTATCGGCGTCCGACAATGATAGTTTTTCTTGACTTGAAAGCAGCATTTGACTCTGTAGACCGAGAGGTTCTGTGGCAGTGTCTGTCATTGAAAGGTGTACCTGAGAAGTACATAAACCTTGTGAAGGCTCTTTACTCGAACACTACCAGTCGAGTGAGAGCTTATGGCGAACTGTCATATGATTTTACAACCTCAAGTGGTGTCCGACAAGGCTGTCCACTATCCCCATTTTTGTTTAACTTCATTATAGACCTGTTGCTGGAAATAACACTCTCTTCGACTGAATTTACAGGAATTGATCTCCTACCAGGGGGACCACTAAGCGAATTAGAATACGCAGATGACATAGTCCTGTTTGGTGAAGACGCTGGCAAAATGCAGAGTCTTCTGTTGGAACTCAGTAATAATGCCAGGATGTTTGGGATGCGTTTCTCCCCATCCAAATGTAAATTGTTACTCCAGGACTGGCCTACGTCAACACCTGAACTAAGGATAGGGAGTGAAGTAGTCGAACGCGTTGACAGCTTCACTTATCTTGGAAGTCTGATCAGCCCTAATGGGTTGGTGTCTGACGAAATCTCAGCGCGGATTCGAAAAGCTCGTTTGGCTTTGCCAACTTACGTCACCTATGGCGAAGACGAGATATCCGTCTATCAATTAAAGGACGAGTATACTGCGCATCAGTTCGCTCTGTTCTACTTTACGGTTGTGAAACATGGCCATTAAGAGCAGAAGATACTCGTAGGTTACTAGTATTTGACCACAGATGCCTTAGAAATATTGCTCGCATCTGCTGGGATCACCGGGTAAGTAATAGTGAGGTTAGACGCAGGGTATTAGGGAACGATGGTAAATCAGTTGATGAGGTGATGAATCTTCATCGACTGAGATGGTTGGGCCATGTGTTACGTATGCCTGAACACCGATTACCACGACGCGCTATGATGACTAGTGTAGGGGATTGTTGAGAGAGAGTTAGGGGCGGCCAAACCAAAACATGGCATCAGTGTTTGAAGTCACTAACTTCTAGTCTGAGCCATGTTGACAGATGCAGACTACCTGGTTGGGGTCCGCGTGACTATCGTAACTAATGGTTGGAGACTCTAGGTGACATGGCTCAGAATCGATCACAATGGCGTAGGTGTATACACTCTTTATCTTCCTTTAAACCTTGAGACTAAAATTGCTTCATATCTCTCTTCCTTCCTATACTATATCCTTATATACAACCTATAATTTATATACTACTACCACCACTACATTAATTACTTCTATGAATCCGGTGTTCATCTTGTTGTGCTAACGAGGTATGGCAACTTGGACCGATGCATATATGTGCCTGGTCCTACGTTGTAGCTGACTGACTGACTGAATCTTATGATATGTTTTCATATTTTATCTGAGAAGTTAACTTGTGTTTTAGGAAGAGAATCGTCGACAGTGGAAGGCTGCATTAGATGAACAACTAAAAGAACAGCAACTTATGCGAGGCAAAAATCCTCAGGAACTACAAAAGGAGTGCGGATTCAATAAAATTTATTCAGGATCTTCTTCAAGTAACCGGGGACATTGCGACAACTCAACTGCATTTCATGAATTAAGTACATCAAAGTGAGCATTTTAAAAATATGTTTGCTTGTATTAGCTAAATATTGGAAGAATGAACTCTTTCTCAAATACATACAAGGTATTTCCGAAAAATAATATATTCACAATGTTATCCTCTATTCATGTTATGATTTTGCTGTGCTTTAAAAAAATTTTCTGTTTTATCATTTCGATGTTGCACAGACACACGTGTATTTATGTCTTAAAATTTTGTTTAAAATAGCAACCAGTTTAACAGCGCATTGGCATCACATCCTTCGGCTAGTCATTTTATGTCATCAGGTTTCTTTTTACCTGATTCAACTGTTACCAACAGTTTCCAACCATCCCCTGGAAAAAAAGATAATCTTAATCAACCTTGGAAAGTTGGTTTTAATCGTGTTCGAGGTTTTACTCAACAGCTGTATACAGATTCTTTGGAATCCGCTGAACGTGCGCGACTTGCTCACGAAACTAGAGTAAGTTATAAAGTAGATATACTAAGCTCTTTCCTTTTGCTCGTAATAATTGTCACTGTAATGTAAGTTCTCTGTACATATTTTAGAAGACTGATGAAAAAAGGAAGGCTTTTTTTCTTACTTAAACCAAGGTAAAATATTAAGTTAAGAATAAAATATGATACAGGTCTGTGCACTCGACTTTGATTGTGTTTTTATGAATGTTTGTAATACTACTCCGCTAGACCGAAGTATTTAAAGCACGATTTAAGCCTATGACTTACTGATTGCAAACAGATTGCTTCAACCACTAAAGGACCATTTAACTTCTGAATTTTACAGGATTGTATATTTATTTATGTTACGCTTCATATCTAGCAGCAGTACTATTACATCACTGTGATGATATCGGTGATCAAAGATTAACAATCTTCGGATCTTTAATTTTGTTCTTCTTTTCGTCTTATTGTTCTCCAATGAACGATTCGTTTTTTGATTTTGGTTTTGCCACTTGTGTCTTGCAAGTACATTACCATGAGTCAGAAAGCACTGCATACGACCAGAATCTAGTCGGACTCACAAAATGCACAAGCCTTCGGTAACCTCTGGAAAACCAAAAGGTAGTTTGAACAACTAACCATTCGTTTCCAGTGACCATCTAACTTTATTTACTCAAACATGATGTCAGATATTAATAATATAGATTTTAAATGTTTGATATCAATAATATGTGGCAAACAGCTTGGATTTATGACTGAGAGTTTTGTTAACAAAGTTTTGGATTTTGGTTAATTGTAACCTCTGAATCTGTTATGACTGAAACAAAATAATCTTCAAAATCACTACTTTCGTCGCACAGTTTCTAAATAATTGTACTTGCAGCTTGATTATCTTATTCTCCTTACCAATTTTTTCCATAGCTAGGTGACTAGAAGTCATTCAAAACAGGTAAAAGCTCACTGATGTATCCAACATTATAAACAGGATATATTTCTATTTACATTTTTAAACAACAAAATAGGTTACTAACTTATGACTAAACTACTGGGTTAACAAGCTCTTGGGAATCGTTGAAAATAAGGTAAAATGGGAAGCGTTGCACTGGTAAAATAAAGTAATAAATTAATAATTACAAGACGTTTTTGGGAATACACTCACTATTGTTAGGTAAAGCTTAAAAGTCGGAATATAATACAATCCATTAATAACAGATTTCAAACACTAAGTATGGAAGTAAGGTTTTCTGGGGTATCTTACTTATATCATCCAAATCAGGAGCTGATTGTCGGACAATAGTAAGTGAATACAAAGTTTCCAAATAATTTTTTTATGGTTAATGGTTTTGTTTTTGACTGATTGAATGTAAATGTACCAGAAATCCTTCCTGCCATGTATTTAGCGATAGTTAATTCAATAGTCCATTACTTCTATGTGTTTGTTTTATCTCTTTTATGAGTGTTGAGTATACTTCCGGCTTAGATGATCCTAAAGATTATCTTTGAAACTCTATGCCTTTACCTTTAAAGCTTATAAGTGATGTTTCTATTTCAAGACTATCAGTTTTTTGCATGATGTTTGCGTGTTTATCTGGATGTTAATTAGTAACAGTCTACCAACAGATTATCATTCCATAATCTAGTTACAAATTCATTCGCTGTCTACGGTTTTATTTATTTTAAGCACAACTCATTTTAGTTGTTTATGAAACTCAACATGATAAGCAAATGAATAATTGTGGTACATCATAAACAAATTTACGGTCAGTTTGCACCTGCTATTTGATAAGTCACTGTAGATGGCGTGGAGTCGCGATTGACTATGATCACTACTACAGGAAGATTACGTGCCAGGTATCGACATGGATCCCTCGGTAGGCCGAAAAACAGAAGGCTGTTAATGGTTGTAATAAGATATATTTGTTGGCGATCTCGCGGTATCGAAAGAATACCGAGACGTGCCAAAGTTTACTCGCGGAACTGCCGAGCGTAAGCGAGTTCGTGCAAGGTCACGGGCAACGGAAGGAAAAGTCTTTAGTACAGTTAAACAAACAATTAGAGTAAAACAATCACTGTTACAAGTGGTTATAATAATAATTGTTTCCATTATACCAATCGCATTCTCATCATAAAAGCAGGTCACTACATCACTATGAAGAGTTCTTGTGAATAATAAATTATGGTGGATTAAGGAGGTAATGACGAGTACACTGGATCACTTAGTCACCATTATTTCGCATAGGAAAAAATGTATATCATAGTACATTTGTGATATGTACACATGAGTTTTGGAAATTTCCTTCTACTATTTTTATTGTCTTTGTATTTACTTACTGTCGTATACAAGTTTGTGGATTGATGTTATGCTAATATTGTACATACTAGGTCAAAAATTTACAACTAGATAACGGACAGCTGATAAACAAAGAGAAAATCCGACATAATCTTCTACTCTTAGCTTATGGGATTTTTTTTATTGGAGTCCAGACACTATCATAAATTTAATCCGAATGATGTGTTAGACAACAAATAAAATATTAAACATAAATCCTATTATTTTAAATTAATTATCTGGATTTACCTGTGCCCTAGAAAGCACTGTCTTAGGCTTCAAAGATTTATCTTCAAAGTTATTAAATCAAAAGGTTTATTATTATGTCATAAATATTATTTAATATTTGTTTCAATGAGGACAAGATTCAGATAAAACAAAGTGTTTAGTCTGAACTTCTTTGGTTTCTATTATCTAGAAAAATGTTAATATATTGTTATTGGAGGGTGTTTTGAATATTGTTGAACCTGAAGTTTTACATCGTGTGACACATTATTTGACAATTAATATTATTGGTTTATACTCATCAGACAAGGGCATTAGTATTAAAAGTGGATTCGTGGGGTATTTTTATGATAGTCATTGTTTGTATTTATTTTTTCTGATCCCAAGGTCCGAAGGCGAAGTCGTACTGCTGACTGTACAGAGGTGTGAAAGCAGTAAGGTGTTTCCTTCAGACAACCAGCATGACAGCGATGCTGCCTTCCCACAAGGAGGGGTGGGGTTAGAAAAGGTCGACCCTAAAAATGCACACCTCGCCTTATGCCACGGATTACCGTCTCCGGCGGTAAGGACTTTTGAAGAACGGAGCTAACACATCAAAAATCCCCCACAAAAAGGCCGTGCGTGACCGGCCTCAAGCAGATGTCCCTTGGGCTCTGCGGTCACGCTCCCAGGTCGTTAAGACCAACACTAATCCAACTTCTTTTTCAGGTCCCTCAAGAAATACCCTTCCACGGTGTGGGCAGCCGGGAAGTGATACTAGCCCTCATACCCTTAACTGCACACAAGACCAAATTGGTCGCTTTCAAATCCTTCCTACACCTAATAACTCTGACTGAGGGATCATTCATCCATCAGTACATACACTTGTAGAATAATCTCGCATGTTTTTTGTGTCAAAAGGTTGATTGTTTTAATCAGTTTTATTATCTTCACAAACTCGTCCGTTAATAATTTCCAAGGTTAATCATATGTATGTACTAAGGTAGTTGGAAACTGAAGGTATGACCAGCTCATATTGATCGTTTTGTTCGAAAACTTTCCACTTGGAATCAAAATTTTTGTTAAAATAATCACTGTGATTAATTTTCATAGTTACTACAGATTGTTTTCGCTCTACTACTAAACTATTGCCTTTAACTGAAGTAAATTACATAGTTCTATGATATGCCTCATTTCCTTTGTTCACCAACACCAATATAATATTAGGCTATCAATATCAAACATTTTGGGAAAATCTTTAGAAATACTTGTTATTAATTTCATCGTTCGTTTATTGTTTGTGTTTTAGTTGATAAATTTGAAACAGATTGAAGAAAAACGTCGTCTTAAAGAAGAAGAAAAAGCAAGACTCCTCATGGAAGAGAAAATGGAAGAAGAACGTATCTCACGTGAACGTCTTCGTTTACAACAAATGGCCGAGGTTGAAAATGCTCGAAAGATAGCAAAAGATGTAAGAGCATTGGTTTCAATATTAAATATTTTTATCATCCGATGTTATTCAAATACATTTTACTTAAGTTCACACGGATTTTATCTTTCACGTACTCCTACTTGCATTTTCTACGTGTTGATTTCCTGGATGTTAATACATCATTGAAATTATTTTTTAGATACGTTTATGGTTACAGATATGAGGTTTATCACTTGAATTGGTTATTTCAACGTTACTGTTAGAAGAATAATAATCACTATAAAATTTCACCTATTGGCAATGTTAATTTCTTCATACTAGTCGGAAATATTTAGTCAGACTGGTTTAAAATCCACTACTTAGCTACAGGTTTCTAATTGACAGACAAATACAAGTGTTTGGATCTGTTAACTTAAATAAATGTTGAGTTTATTTTACTTCTATCTGTCTTAGCCGTTTATTGTCAATAGGTAAGGTGGGACATGTTGGCGGATACCCCCATACAAACTGGAAGTACTTTCAATGCTGTTATTTGCGACACCAGGTACCTGTTTATCTCTACAAATGAAATGTTTTGCTGCTAAGCTAAAATGGTTTGGAATGGTTTGTTATAATGGCAAAATAAACGATTTCTCATTTTAGTGAAATACGATAATACTCTGACAATAGACTGGCTAATTGACCTCAGTGGGGGATTTCGGTTGGTATAGGAGTAGATCAGAGGAAAGTTTGAGGAGGCCTAACCAATTTGTGGAATAAGTCAATGATGTCATTGATTTGGTCTCAGTCATGTTGGTAGATTCGGACTCTCTAGTTAGTGTTTTTGCAGTAACCGTGATATCTTCGGTCAGTGGTCGGGGACTTTTTGTGACCTGGCTCATAATTGTTCACGATGTCTCAGATACGTTCACTCTTTGTCTATCAGTTTTGAAGTGTGGCACATATATATCCGGTGCCTTTTGTACCAATATATATGTGATTGAATAAATAAATAAATAAAAATCAGTTTTGAATTCCTTCACATACACATTCCTACCAATCGTCTTTTATTGTCGTCACTACTATATTGTTCCGATCTATTTTGCTACATACCTTGTTGGTTTCATATTATGCTAATTTGTATAACAACTTGGGCTAACGCACATCTGTGGAAGACTCTACGTCGATGAGGACCCAAAGTAATAAATTACTATACGAGGTCACATAACACTCACATACACTATATCTGACCAAGAATTAAGAAGTTTAGAGAGATAATGTATTCACTGCAAGTACAAGGAGTCAGCTACAGTTTAATCGAAATAAAGATCTCGAGTGTATCACCAGAGAAATCAACAATGGGAAGTTGACGAGATTGTTTTGTCTCACACATTTAGCGCAATCAGATATCTATCTTCGCTTACTTACCAATCAAACGGGACATCATAACGTTATTACCCAAAGAAAATTTGACGTAAGTAGTATTTGAAATTATCTCAAACAATTAAACTTATCAGTAGAATACCCAACACTAAAAATAAACGTAACTAGTTTGTTCATTGTCTGTTTTCAAAATTCCCGTCAACCGTATTAGCATGTACAAAATAATGGGACTAGTCTAACCGACTTCTGATTCGAGAAATCGTTAATTCTACCACATACTTTTGTTTCTCTTCAGATGGAAGAATTTCAACGTACACAATACTTATATGAGTCACTTGTTCGCGCTCAAGAAGAAGCAAAACTGTCTAAAATTCAAAAACATCCATGTCATTCTGAATTAAAACGAAACAGGGATTCATTAAGTCAACAATCCGTCATACAGTCTGAATTACTTGCCCCATATTGGTCTGTTGCATCCGTTGTTGAAAAACAGAGTCAAAATAATCCATTGTATGTTTTCCTATCTTCATCAGGTTGTAATGCGCCAGATGTAAGTCAATATATTAGGGTGATTATTATCAATTTTTTTGATAAATAGGATTTCTATAAGTATGTGTTTATATAAATGATATTTTTATTTTCTGTGCTTCATTAAAAGAAACAGTATTGGATATAGTTCATTACTAGTATCATTACTTTTTGCTAGTTGATTTGCATAATATTGATAATTATGAAGCTGAATTTCACTTACTACATGCAATTATGTTAATAAAGTTCACTATCCTATGATTATTTCCACCTCAACATTTAATCTGGTAATATGGACTGATACCACTAAGTATGTTTATCACGTCACTTATTATAGTCTTTTATTAAGCCCAATCTAACATCCTACATTAAGTTGGTCTATGAAGACTAAAACAAAATTCTTCAAATAAGAGACGATTGACTATTGACTTAAATTTTGTACATAAATGAAAACTTAGTGACATGATTATTTTTATACGCTAAATTACTGTTTATGAGCTTCTAATATCATCAGTTACTTTTTTACTCCTTATCGAGCTTAAGTGTATTATTTCACGGTCAAATCGTGCTTCATTTTATCACTATATTTAGTCCGTTTTTAAAAATCTTGTTTTCTTTGTTATTTATTGCTCACAGTTTATATCCAGAAGTGTGACAAGTTGATACAGATTTGTAGTGATTTTTTTTCGCTAATCCATTTACTTAGTCCTAGTGGTCAAATTTTGAATACGATGTTTATATTACAGTAGTTGTTAACAGATCTTTATATAATTCAAAGATATTCTCCAGTGTTATTACTTACATTTGATTGTATTCTCCCTCATTTTCATGATCGTACTCAGTATCTATTGAAATCTATTAATTTTATTCATTTGTAGTCTGTTGTATATCCTAAGAATTCATTTGCTGTTCAAACTTCGTTTCCTGAAAATATCGGCATTCAAACAGGTAAACAGATTCTTTATGCAATAAAATTAGGGTTTATCGTTCCTTCTTTTGCTCATAGGCCAGTAATTACAACTCAGGTAGTCTAGTTTATAAATTACAGTTTAAGAAATTCCGCATAGTAGACTTGTAAGTTATGAACACAGTTAGCCATTATGTATCACTAAATATTTTAAGTCTCCTGATATATGCATTTGATAACATTTCTTACTGCGATAACTCAATCTACACCCTCTGTTGTTTGCCAATTTCGTACTGAAGTCATACTGTATGAAACTAAGTAGACATTGAAGGTTTTAACGATAATATTATCTAACTAAATTTCTAACGTAAAGTTTGGTCAGATTTTAAGGTAGCATAGTATCATATAAAGTTCTATAGGATATGATCAACTGCTTTGTAGTGTTCGTTCTTTGATACTAAAATCAAGTGGTCCATTTTATTTGAAGTGTTCACACCGAGTCAGAGATATGAACCTGACTGCATATTTTATGTTGAAGTACTCTAAAAGTTCTACATGTTTGTTGTCATTCATTTTAAGTCATCTGTTCATTTTAAAAATAGACTAGCCACTCATAACAAGAGAGGGGGGGGCTTCTGGTTTTGGTTCCTAAAACGGTGTCCTGTGTTATATATCATACTTACTTTTGCTTCTCAGAAAAGTCCAAACTAATGTTAAAATATTTGCTTGCTTTTGTTGGGATGATTAGTTTTTCTCATCATCTAACGATTAATTACTATTTGTCAGTTAAACAAACAACTTAGAAAATAGAACTTGATTATTCCTCTGTTTCTAATTTAAACTTTATCCACTATAATGATCAACCCAACAGCTAGGTAGGTCCCAATATACGTAGTTGTATTCACATCTTCCGTACTTGTCTATGAACTCATTTGCTAGGTGACGTGAACCAAGTTGACACTATCTATATCTGTTTCTTTAGCTTATTAAATATCTTTGTCTCCTGATAATGGGTAGTTCGGAGATTTTTTTAGGTATTAGTAATGTTTGGCAAAGTAATGGAGATACTTAAACTTACTATCGCATACTGATCAAAAAAAAGCATGACGTTTTTTACCATGCTTAACAAACAACAAACACTTATCCTTATTAGAGAAACCATACTTTTATATATACATATATCATTGAGAATATTGTTATGTTGTCGACAATATGCAAAATGAAACCTTCTCATTTCCGAATCTATTTCAGAAAACTTCGAATCAACTAATTCGAAAGACAAACAAGTTTCGAATAATCCAGCTTCGAAAAATCAAAATAATGGCACTATTGCTCATAAAATAAAACCCAGTGACAACAAATTAGTAAAGAATAGCCCAAGTAAAATGTCTGTATCTGTATCAACTCAGCAAAACCTACAGTGTGAGTGAATTCCAAATCCTTAACTAATTCTGATTACAAGTAATGAGATCAACTACTAATTTAACGTTCTCGTTTTGTGTTACTTTTGATACAATTCACAATAAAGTCTATGGTTTCTAAGTGGATGAATTACCAGTGTAATACAAGATGATATAATCAGTAGGATCAGTTCAACTTAACCGTTAGATATTAGATCATGTGAACTCAGATAATCAAATTCAGAGCAATGATTGAGAACCTAGGCAGTATTTTATTGATACTAGTTATGGGCTGTCAATACAGTGAAATTTGAGTAGAAATCACAATTACTTATAAAAATAGTCTTTTACGTTTAGTACAGCGGGATATATGTATCTTCGCTTATTCACCGATCTCGCCTTACTTTCACCACTGATACATAAGATATATTGCGTGAATTCACCCATTCGATTTAAATTTATTTTCTAAAATCTCTCCAAATAAATTAGAAATTCCAGTAGTTTGTGCTGACGATGTTGTGTAGAAAGACAGTCGAAAGCTTCACGACTAAATCGGCCAGCTTAATTAATACTGTCTCACTAAAATTATTTTCTCAAACTACAAATCTTCATCACATCAAAGTGATTACTTATTAGTAAATTAAGATCAGAATGCTAACTGTTATATCGAAAAAAGTAGATGCTTTAGGTTTTGTTGGCACTCATGTGGGAAGTAATAATAGGAACGCAGTTGTATGATCTTGGTCCGTCCAGTCAGGTTGTCGATTAGTTCATTTATATTAGCAGTGAGACCGGTAACCTAAGTACCAGAGTGACACGCTGATAAATGAACAACAACAACTATCAAGACCTTAACGCTTATCGACCCTCGAGCTACTTCTAACCGCTGTGGCTAATCGAAAAACGAAGATTGAATTCTGATTAGTTCTTCATTGTACTCAACGCAAATATGACTCAGAACTCATACAATAATATACCTGAAATATCTAATCAAGAAGCAAGACTATAAAAAAAATTACACTGCATATCTAACCTAGACATAGGTTATACTAAATTCGAGTTATAGGGAGGAAAGGCAACTGATGGTAAATCCGAAATGAAAAAATGCATGACAACGAATAATGAACCAAACAAAAGTTTGAAAATTGGAGGTTGTAAAAATACAGCAATTAAAGAATCCTCTAATGATATGATAAAAATATAAATAATAACCTTTCGTATGAAAGTCTAGAAAGGTATACTTCAGCACTATCTGCCCCATTATATCACCAACTTCATAAATTATCTGAGATATTGGCAAATTAGCGAAACATGACCAGTAGTTACACTACAATCATTTCTGACGTATTCACTTAGTAAGAAGAGGAAGACTGGTCTTTCACAAGAAATCTTTCAATATCAATTTACATAATCCTAGTAATATTTTATTCACTCTGTAATGTTTAGCAATTACTGCGTCATCTTATTTTTTTAACCATGAATATATTTAAATAATTATATTATAATGTTGTATTTTCTCTCTCTCAATGATAATCGAAACGTAGCTCGACAAAATAGATTAACTTCGAATAATAAGCCTACAAATAATAATAATAATTCAGTTAATAATAGAACAAAAGTATCACAACTCCTAAAAGGTAAACAAACTTCGAAATCTCAATCTTTTAATTCTGATTCATATAATAATAATGATGACTTTTCTAAATCAGCCAATGAACGATCGAAATTATCAAGCAGTAATAGCGCACAAACAATTAATTCATGTACCGGTACGAATAAGTTCGAAAGGTATAGTTTACTTTGTTTTTATTATTACTGTTCATATTATTACTTACTAATTACTTAAGAATGTGTTTCGATTCTATTTCTGGTAAGCCTTATTCAGAACAACTCATCCCTAATGAGAATCGATTAATCATAAATATACGCTTAGTAATAATGAAGTATAATACAAAGAAAACATCCATTGTGTTATTGAAGAAGAATAAAGGTATTTCAGTGGAGATATTATTTTCGACGATTTCATTTATTAAAGCTGCACAGTCGTATATGCAGCTAATTTATCCATTAAAAGTAGTAATCTATAGTAAAGTAAAAGGATGTGTGATTTTGAGAATTTGAATTGATATCGTGTCATAAATTTTTTATGAAACCTTAAGAATAACGTACTTCAGTCAATAATTGAGAACGTTCATATAGATGACACGTTTATTATCTATGGCGAAAATATTAACTTTAATGTCATCCTGGATAAATCCCATAATTGTCATCGCTCGCTGAAATTTACACTGGAAGCGGTAGTAAATTCGGAATTCCACTTCCTTGGTGTTCTGTTATAAAGAGGGCCAGATAATTTATTACAAAGATCATCCATATACAAAAAACCAATGTGTAATGATCAATACTTGAATTTTCGAAGTTGGATTTAACTAAAAAGAAAGATGAACCTAATTTATTATTTATCCTAAAGGGTTAGAAAAATATGCTTCAGATACTCCCACTCCGACAAGTATTCAATTGAATAGCTATCCGTACCTGTTCATTGAAGAAACATGAAACCAAACTACATTGTTAGTGGGATATATTAGATTATAGGATGTTCAGTACACGATTGTGTTGTCATACGCTGATTAGCCGTTTATTAGCCGATCAACGCTAACGGATAATTGGAGAAGACTCTAAAATCTTCCCATGTAAAATTATAGATATGCTAACTTTTTTCTTACTGTGGTTGTTACACCCGTTCAATTTTTTTATTTAGAATATAATTATATTCCTGTTCAACCTTGTCCTAATTCGGGAACTAGTTGATTGGGGTAAAGTATCCGAACAAATACTAAATAATAATTATTATTTAGACACATAAACATAGGTAAAAGGAAGCACCAAACAGATATGCGCCACATAAATCATTCGATTTGTGTGAGGGCCGGGATACTACCCGGGTACCCAAACCGAAGCAGGTGGTCTTCTTAGTGGGCCACACCTGGAGCCTCTGACCTAAAGATCTGATCCACAAGGCAGTGGAGCAACGTAAGGAGACGCATTCACATGGTAGCCAGTGGCCAACAATTTGTTCCCTCAAGATTCTGAAGTCCATGTGCACCATTGGTTTGCAATCGTGGTTTTCCAACTCCTGTAGGTGGATCCTCCGTATCTACCAATCCGGCTAAAGCACCGAACATTCGCGTTTCGACCTCTCAATTTCGTAAACAACACCCCCGCCGCTTGAAGACAGTAAATAGGATTTCCCTGGCAGTGGTTGTATGTACACGGTTATGTGAAAGCATTTCAAAGGGAGAACTGGCTCTCCCCACTCTCAGCCTTCCCTGGGCATTCGGGAGCGAAAATTGAATTTAAAGAGGATACTGCAGTGAAAATTCTGGAATATAGACCTGTTAAATCTTTGAAAAGAAAATCATTTTGACGATAAGCTTCACACTATCATCAACACCCTATCATTCATGAATGTATCAGAGATAAACTTCTATTTTGGGTCAAGTAATTCTACATTTTCAGGTTTATTTGCTCTTATAGAGCAGGTTTCAATGTCGCACAAAGGAAACGCTTTCTAAACACACCTGAGAATTAAATTTTTGATAAGAATCATACTAATATCCAGCAGACGTACACTAAATATACGGGAAAATGACTAGAAGTGCTATATACGGTCACAGTAAATATTGAAAGTGTTACGGATAACCTTAGTCAAATAGCTATTCAAGGCAAATGTAATAAAATTGGATCCTTAAATTTCTGTTGTGGTTGGCTGTTTTTTTGATGGTAGGTTTGAAAGTAGATTTTCTCAGCGGGCGTTGTGGTCGAAAATGAACGAAATGGTTCTTCTTAAGTCTAAATTATACGTTCTCACCATGTAAATCATCGTTCATATATCCTCTTTAAAGTTTGAACAATCATAGTTTCCCTCTTTGCTAGATCAAGTTACTGAACTCGTACTTTAGTGTATACCTTCATCTGGATTTTATGGAAATCGGCTTGCCTCCTTTACTCATAGACAGAACTTGTTCATGTTTCCATATCCTTTTTATCTGATCGATTTTTGTTCTGTTGTTAATGTGACGGCTTAGATAGTCATGCTATTTTTCTTTATTATAATCATTAATAAATCAACACGAAGTGTTCATTATTCATATATTTTTCGTTAATATTAGATCTGTTCAAGATGGAAGTAGTACGAAATCACGTATTCCTATACCGAGTGAGCTACATAAATACTTTTTTTTGTTAAGAATTAATAACAATTTATATTTAATATCTACTCTTTACATAATATAGAGTAGTAGCTAAGTAGCTAGGATGTTTAACTTTCAACCATTGTGTCATAATCTTGGCTTTCGTTCTACCTACTGGTTTTGGTTAACGGTTACTATCTTCAGCTTTCAAAAATGTGCAGATCAAAGTCGAGTACACAAATATATACTTGTTTATCGAGTTGAGTTTTATTTATTACATTTTCGTTTCAATAATATGATAGCTTGAACCAGTACTATGGCCAATGTGGTTTATGATTGGTAAATGACAGCAAGATTTATTTCTCTAGCCGCCACTACATATTTACCAACTAAGTGGAGCTAACATTTCACACATTGTTTATTCTATTCTAGTAAACCCTCCGAGTAACCCACTCACCCATAGGGTTTCAATAAAAATATTCGGATACTTAATATACTGTTAAATTGATTTTTTAAAATCTTTTTTATCAACAAATTCTTATTTCCTGTTCCAGGTTTTAATTCACCCGAAAGATAGGTTTAACTTTCTTATCATGTCTTATTTAGCCAATGTTAGGATATTCACAGGAATATCCCAAAATTATCTCGAAAGTAAAGTCGTATGTTTTCAGACTCTTCACATATTTTGCATGTTATTTTCTATTGGTCATTAATTACAGTTGTCCTAACTATGACTCCGTGTCGTTTTCCTATTGGTCAATTTTGAGTTGTCCTAATTATAACCTTTACGTGTCCTTTCTTTCCATTGGTTACTGTTCATAGTCATCTTAACTGTATAAATATGTCTTGTCTGTAAATCATTTTACTTTCTGGAAATAGCATTGTCAATGTTCTCCAAAATAAACCAAAAAGAATGAATTCTTATTTTCTCTACTATGTTCCCAACGAATCAATAGATTCGCACCCCTGTTGTAACACAACCTTTCTATAGAGTTCGTTGCTGTGTCAACTATGGGTCATAAGACAGATCACTACGAAGGTTGACTCAGTTTATTCCCCAAGTTTTCTCCATGTTTCTCAGGAGAAAGTGATTCTCGAAATATATATAACTCACCATGAAAATTCGCATATCCTACTGCAGGTATTGACCATTACATTTTATTCTGTGATGGAGTGCAAAAATTTAGTGTATTCGATCATCATGTAAAGGCTCAACATAGAGATTGAACAATATTTTAAAGATTGAATGTTTACATTTAATACTTTAAAAAAAATAAAATCAACTTTTGTGTACTAATTACTACTTATTTTTAAAATATAGTGTCTTGTATTTCTTTTTCAATAAAATAAATTTGTGAATTGTATTTAAGTATCTACAGCCTACAGTATATCGTCAACTTCAATGCCAAAACATCAGGTTTCCACTGTTAACACTGAGTCTCCAAATAATACTACATTTCTTAATCATGAAAATCCTTATGGGCCTGTGGATCTTATTCGTACTTATGATGTATTGATTCCGAATGATGGAAATATCATATTGCCTGTCGGCTATGAACCTGGTGCTGTTGAGAATACTAGAAAATCAGAAGGCAAAGTAAAGTCCCTCTTAATTTTGTATTTTTACTATATATATATATATTAGTTGGGCTTTCTTAGCATGTGACAGGTCCATGTGAATAATAACTTTCAGTTTTCATTACATAAACTTTCTTTAGACTCTGACTGTTAAGTATATTTCTTGCCCATCATATCAATAACATATAAAAATATCCTAGCACAAACATTATACTAGATAGTTATTGCTAATGTATAATAAAGTTTCCTCTATTTACTTTAATAATCCTTTTTCGTAAACCAACAAAATAATTTTTTTTTACTCATTCAACTTTCCATTCCTGGTTATTACTAAATTTAATAAGTGAAAAAGATTTTAATTTAAATACCACCAAAATTGTTTTGATGGTGAAGTTATGCTTATGACATAAGCATCGGTAGTCTAAAATATGTTTGTTTAAATTAATCTTATATTTCTTATCCGTTCTTTTAGAACTTAATCACTTTTCACTTTAGGTCTACTTAAAGTGAACTGTTCCTAGATGATAAGTCGGTTTACGATCAGTCCAAAAATGACGAAATACTTCTTCAGGATAATTGTCCTAGCAGATTTCGAGTTCCATATTGTTAGCATAATCTAAATAAACAAATTCCATGTTGAAAGTAGCCATAAGATTATTCTGACTATTCAGTTAACATATATGTCTGGTGAGGCGGCGTTGGGCGTAGCAGTTACTTAACGTAGGGACAACCTGTGATTCCCCAGATGCTAGATAGACATCGGATTTAGACGGTCCTGCAGGTCGATAGAGCTACTGGTTCTGCGCATCGGTGGACTCAACATTTCGACGGGGTACCGTGGCACAGAATTCGACACAGGAAGAAAGAGTAACTACAGGAGTGACTGTTTAAAGGGAGACGAGTGTGGCGTAAGCTACTTATGCTGACGGATATAAGTAGTATGTAGTATGAACCGGAAGTGAAATGCCTATCAGTAGAAGACTAAAATGATTGAATTGAGGAGAAAGGAAGGCGAAACAACGAACAGTTGTAGTAACAACAGAATTGGAGGAATTATGTAGCATTTAAAGGACAACTAAAGGAAGATGTGCTATAAATTACTTGGTGTAAGGTTTTCATATTTTATTTAGGCCACCGGGCATCGAAGCAGCACCCACAGACCCTCGTATAGATGTCATTCCAACAACTATCAAAGAAACCAGAATGCTATAGCAGTTATCCTACAATCAGTTTCTATTATGGTTAATTTTGGTTAAGTCCTTTTATTAACTTACTTAACAGACACTGTCATTGGAATAGTAACAGTTTGCATATTTCTTTGTACTGTTATGACCACTAGAGCACATGACACTCTTGCCAAAACGTCGATTGCTTAAATATCGTTCGATGACTCATCCTCCTCCCCATATATGCATGCAAAGCGAATGTCCGGCGCTTTAACCGGGTTGGTGGACATGGAAAGTTCACCTAGGGGAGTTGGAAAACCCTGATTACAAGCCAATGGTGCACATGGGCTCCTGATGGAACGAATGGCGAATGAACCTGCTGTTGGTCACCGGCTACCATGGGACTGCATCTCCTTACGATGCTCCACTGCCTTGTGGATCAGATATTCAGGTCAAAGGCTTTGGTCTTGGCCCCCTAAGAAAACCACCTGCTTCAGTCTGGGCACCTGGGCAGTATCACAGCCCTCACACAAATCGAATGAGATTTGTGAGGCGCATATTTATTTGGTGCTTTTTTGTACCAATATTTATGTGTTTAAATAAATAAATAATATGTATGCACTTAAATCGCATTTTTTGCTTTTGTTTTGCTTTGCTGCGCCCTTATACAATTTGACTATAAATTGCCTATGCACTTGCTTGCGCCGAGTGCTCACTTCTCGCTGATATTTGCTCATATGTTTGTAACTTCCTGGCCTACGTTATTTGATAATAAACTGTAGTTGCCGCTTCTCTTTGCCATTTGATTTCATGCATCGTTGAGATTTATATTATAGCAGTTATCGAGGTGAACAATTAGCGAAGCACGGCACTACAATGGCGATCAGACAAATCAAGGGTGAGAAAGCAGCAGGACCTGACAATATACCAGCTTAATCACTGAACTCAGACATAGAAGCAAAATGCAAACATTCTCTGTGTTCTATTCAGAAAGATTTGGGAGGAGAAACAAGTACAAGAAAACTGGAAAAAGAGGGACATCCCATAAAGATACCAAAGAAAGGAGATCTAAGAAAATGTGAGAACTATATAGGCATCACACTACTATCGGTAGCAGGAAATATTTTCAACAGTGTTGCTGAACTGGATGAGGGATTCGGTAGATGACCAACTTCGAGATCAACATGTTGGGTTCCGTAAAGATCTTACGTACACAGACCGAATTGCGATATTACGGATCATCGTTGAACAATCCATTGAATGGAACTCGTCACCATACATCAACTTCCTTGATTATGAGAAAGCATTTGACAGTGTGGATTGGAGAACATCATGGAAACGTCTTCAACACTATGTAGTGAGTAGCTGAGAAAATCGTCAAAATCGTCTGAAGTTTACACGACGGACTACACTGCGAAGTGGTGCATTGAGACAGCTGACAGACGCACTCCAAGTAAGGACCGGAGTCAGCCAAGGCTGTTTACTCTTCGCCTTTCTTTTTCTTTTAGTGGTTGATTGGATAATGAAGACCTCTACATTTGAGTGGAGACACGGAATACATTGGGCAGGTTGGATACAACTAGACGATTTGGTCTGGGTACATGATGAGTCAATAGTATTATATCTTAGTATTAAATTTTATTAACAAGCATTTTACAACTTTCCTGTGATGTGAGATTATTTTTTGGAGAAGATTGTTTTATTTATCATCGAAGAATAACTAATCAAAATAAGTCTCTGTAAAATGTATTCAACGTAAATTATTAATTTGATTCATTATCTATCTCACTTCAGGATTCACTTCGAAATCCGAATACAAAACATGAGCGTTCAATTACCCGACAAGATACTATCTTACAACAGTTATCAGAAATTCGTAAGGTAAGCCACTCATTCCATTGAAATGTTTTTTTCATATATCTTTATTTAAATGCTCAGAATTTTCCTATTGGTTTGTTTTTTCCTGTTAGTTATATTCAAAATTTAATTTGGTCAGTTTTTGTTGGTATATTAGTTCATTGACGAAACGTTATTACTCCTGTCTCTTATTCCGCATGGGCAGCACCCATTGTTGTTATCAAGAAGGCTAATGGTACAATCCGAATATGTGCAGATTTTTCCACAGGTCTCAACGCAGCCCTAGAACAGCATCATTATCCGCTGCCAGTCCCGGCAGATTTGTTCACTATACTGAACGGCGGAAAGTACTTTGCGAAGTTGGATCTTGCTGATGCCTACCTACAAGTAGAAGTGGCTGAAGAATCAAGAGAGCTACTCACTATTAATACTCATCGTGGACTGTTCCAATATAATCGACTGCCGTTTGGAGTCAAGACCGCCCCATCTATTTTCCAGCAGCTAATGGATACCATTCTATCAGGTATCCCGGGGGTCGCAACTTATCTGGATGACATCCTCATTGTTGCCACAACGTCGGAACAGCTACGAGAACGCACAACAGCCGTGCTCCAACGCGTCAGCGACAACGGGTTACGGTTACGCCCGGAAAAGTGCCAGCTTTTCTTGAAATCCGTGAAGTATTTGGGGTTCATCTTTGATGCTGCAGGTCGCAGACCAGATCCCGAGAACATTCGAGCTATAAGAACTATGCCCACACCTACCAATATCTCTACTCTACGATCATTCCTGCGATTGGTTAGTTATTACTCAGCCTTCGTTCCATCGATGCATGACATACGCGCCCCACTGAATTATCTCCTGAATAAGGATATCAGCTGGAACTGGACAAAGGAATGTGAAAATGCCTTTTGTAAGCTACAGACAATTATTAGTTCAGAACTACTATTAACGCACTACGACCCGTCTTTGCTAATCATCGTGGCCGCAGACGCTTCAGCCTTTGGGCTCGGTGCCGTTATTTCACACCAGTTCCCCGACGCGACAGAGAAAGCTATCATGCATGCATCCCGAACATTAACCCCAGCAGAAACGAAGTATGGCCAGATAGAGAAGGAGGCTCTTGCCCTAGTATTCGCAGCGCGTCGTTTTCACAAGTTTCTTTATGGTCGGAGATTTACTCTCCTAACTGATCACAAGCCTCTCCTTGCAATTTTTGGTTCGAAGTCTGGCGTCCCGGCCCACTCTGCAAACCGTCTTCAACGATGAGCCTTGATCCTCTTGAGTTATGAATTTGACATTCAGTATCGACGCACCCAACATTTTGGTCAGGCAGACGCATTGTCACGACTCATCAGCGAACACTCTACGACCGACGAAGATGCCGTTATTGCTTCTCTTTCGACAGAAGACCACGCACAATGCTACCTGACAACGGCTGTTCGTGCTTTGCCAGTCTCAGAATCTGAGATACAAACTGCTTCCAGAAACGACCCCATCATTAAGAAAACGATGAACTACGTCACCAATGGCTGGCCATCAACTAAACTTGACGGTGACATGAAGCAGCTTTACCATCGTCGTGACTCATTATGTGTCGTAAGTGAATGCTTGATGTTTGGAGATAGAGTGGTGGTGCCAGAATCCCTGCGACCGAGGGTGCTGAAGCAATTCCACATTGGTCATCCAGGCATAAAGCGTATGAAATCCATCGCCAGAAGCTATGCTTACTGGCCCCTCATGGACCAGCATATCGTGGATCTAGTAAACAAATGTGCTCAGTGTCAACAAGCTGCAAAGTTCAATGCAAAGGTGCCGCCGGTTCCATGGCCACATCTTGAGCATCCCTGGTCTAGGATACATGTCGACTTTGCCGGTTCAATCAACGGAATCACTTACCTTGTCGTGGTCGACGCCTTCTCGAAATGGCCGGAGATTGTTCCCGTCAATCCACCAACGACCACCCAGACTCTGAAACATCTGACTGAGTTTTTCGCACGAAACAGATTACCGGAAGTGATTGTATCCGACAACGGTTCGCAATTCACCTCGGCGCAGTTCCAAGAGTTCTGCAAACCATCAGGCATCTTCGCGCCCCACCTTATCACCCACAATCGAATGGGCAAGCGGAAAGGTTCGTGGATACGTTCAAGAGGGCCCTTATTAAGTTAAAAGGGTAGGGGACACCAGTGGAAACACTGCAGAATTTTTTATTCGCCTACAGAACGACCCCCAACAACACGCTGCCGAAGCAGAAGTCCCCCGCAGATATTATTATTATTATTATTAATGGCTTTATTCAATATTATAATCTGGTCCTCATGGGAAGACGGTTGAGGACCATCCACAACTTGATGCTGCCGAAAACCACACCACCACTAGTACAAACCACGTCCCGGAAGCTACCCACGTACAACGTTGGATGCCCAGTATTTGCTAGAGACTACAGAGCAAGTCGTGACCCTTGGATCGAAGCACGTGTAGTTAGAAGGGTAGGAGAAGTCATGTACGAGGTTGAGGTGGGAGCGGACAGGTGGACCAGACATCGAAATCAACTACGCAAGCGGTTAACGCTAGAGCGCCCGTCGACCGAAGTAAAGATCCCGCTGGACGTACTATTGGATACCTTTAATCTGCCGGCAGTCCCAACGCATGAAGAAATACAAAAGGTCGACCTACGGTCCCGAAGATGGTCACTGCGCCAACGGCGAAAGACAGTCAGAATGCAAGTGGACCCGAAGACTATGCGTTATTAAAGGGGGAGGTGTTGGGGATGTCAAATCCCCAGAACTTACTTGATAAGTGGCTCAATTTTGTAATTTTATTTTGGAAATTTGAATTTAGCTGTTTTCGCGCCAAAACGTGCTCTTATTACCTTCACATCATATTTCCCACTTGTAACTATCTTAAACGCTATTGGTCCATTGTTTCTTTGTGTGTGCTAATTATTAACGATGCCCAAGAACATTTCGTTGCTGTATAAATACGCTTGACTTTTTCCCTTATTTGATTACTGTGCTTCTGGCTGCTACGGAATATAACTTCCCCGCTCCAACTTGGACTTCTTACTCTAGTTAGCTGGGTCTGGGTCGCGTCAGTATAGCTAGTTATCGGTCTCTGGTTACGTGTCTTTGTTCCGTTCGTTACTAGTGAATTCGTAACGCTTCAGATATATCAATCTCCGATGCGTGTCATTTTTGCTCATATTTACTGATATTTGTTCATATGCTTATAGCCTCTGCCAGGGAAGTCCTACTCACTGCCTTCTCGTGGCGGGGGTGTTGTTCACAAAAGTGAGAGGACGAAAAGCGAATGTCCGGCGCTTTAACCGGGTTGGTGGACACGGAGGGTCCACCTAGAGGAGTTGGAAAACCCTGAATACAAACCAATGGTGCACATGGGCTCCTGATGGAACGAATGGCGAATGAACCTGCTGTTGGTCACCGGCTACCATGGGACTGCATCTCCTTACGATGCTCCACTGCCTTGTGGATCAGATATTCAGGTCAAAGGCTCCGGTCGTGGCCCCCTAAGAAAACCACCTGCTTCAGTCTGGGCACCTGGGCAGTATCACAGCCCTCACACAAATCGAATGAGATTTGTGAGGCGCATATTTATTTGGTGCTTTTTTGTACCAATATTTATGTGTTTAAATAAATAAAATAAATTATAGCTTTCTGGCCTGCGTTATTTGACTGACAATAAACTGTAGCTGCCGCTTCTCTTTGCCTTCTGATTTTATGCACCGTTAAGATTTGTATTATAACGGTTATCGAAGTGAACGACTAGCGAAGCACGTTACTACAATATATATATAGAATAGACATTAGGTGCAAATTATCTAATTAGTTGCATACGTTATCTCGGAAAATTGAATGAACTGACGATTTATAATACTTATAAAAAACACAATATCCTAATGAGTAAGGACTTGAATTAATGTTATAATTATATTTTTATTTTGTTGCTATTAACACTTCATCTTGTGTCCAATTGATTTGAAATTATCAAATTCAACCTTGATTCTTCTGCATAAAAAGAGGACTTCACTTCAACGTAATTGATTATGTATATTATATACCACATAATGTTTAAAGTCCAGTTATTTGACTGAGTATCGTAGGTCTAGGCATTACATCAATTGTCAGTTTTAAAAAGATTAAAGATGCTAAGGTTTTTTGCGTAATTTAATGCAAAACTAGACTGTATAGTAAAATACTCCTAAGTTTGATTGTTTTCACGGAGACAGCCAATTTCTTATCCTCTTCTTGTCCCCGACTAATCCAAAGATGGGACTTCGTTCAGGAAATTCATTGTATAGTTCTAGATTGATTAAATCAAGCCAGCAGGTGCTGTGCATGAATAAATTTATAATCCCTTATGTGAGTATGGAAGATATTTATTATCTAGTAGCAGGTTTTTCCTGGCTTTAAAAGATAAAGAACGGATGTCATAACAAATTTTGGCGAACCTAAGCGCAAATATACGTTTACACAAACATTGTAACAAAAGAGTAATTTCTAGAAGTCATTTGTCAGAATTAAAACATCTTCAACTTTGAACGAAAACTAACTTTTCAAAAGTAATTTATGAAAACCTATCTCATACTTTTATTTTTATCGAGTGTGGATAAGCATGACGTTTAAAGATCTACCTAGCTGATTTATTCAATACTGTGTATAGATAAATGAGTATATATTAGAATTTCTCATTTTTTTCAGGGTTTACAACTACGTCAAATGTTGTGTGAATCAGGTACTTATGAAGATGATATTAATGATTGAATAGAAGATACAATACATGTGTTTTTTATATGTACGGTGAATTCTTCATAACAAAAATATAAACATATCATTTTACTAAGACTAAAAATGTCTTAATCACTTTTCTATCTTCTTATTTATGTATTATGTAGATTTTCTGTGATGACTTCTATCATTATTTTATTTTTTTGGTAGTTTTTTTTAATGAGGAGTACAGTGGCGGAAACATATCATAAACATATCATCAGTATGGTTAATGTCATTGACATTCAATTCTTCCATAGATTTGTTTATTCATTTTCATATACTACTACTTACTTATAGTGTAATTTGTCATTTTTGAATTCAATCGACTGCTACTTGCATTTATCAACTTATCACCAATAGTTGACTCAGCGTTGAAAGTATTACCATCCGAGAAATAGGCTGACAGGATTATTACTAATACCAAAAAATTTCTTTGATTTAGTATTTTCGTGTTTTTTTTGTAAAATGATGTAGTTTGACTTTTTGCATTTTATATTTAAGATTTTGAAGGATGTTGTATATTTTAAAGAAATATGTAATAAATTTATTGACAAGAATGATTTCTCAATTTTATCTTTTTTTTGTATGCTCATGCTCTGATTGTTTTTATTCACGATTGATTATCAGGTGTTTAGAACGATCGATAAACTGTTTATGCCCCTAAATTCCCTGGTACGGCCGAGAGTGGGGAGAGTCCACTCCCTCTCGAAATGCTCTCACATGGCCATACGAATATATAGCCTCTGCCAGGGAAGTCCTACTCACTGCCTTCTCGTGGCGGGGGTGTTGTTCACAAAAGTGAGAGGACGAAAAGCGAATGTCCGGCGCTTTAACCGGGTTAATGGATGTACAGGATCCACCTAGGGGAGTTGGCAAACCCTGATTCCAAACCAATGGTGCACATGGGCTCCAGTATCGTGAAGGAACAAATGCCGTATGAACCAGTTGTTGGTCACTGGCTACCATGGGACTGCATCTCCTTACGATGCTCCACTGCCTTTTGTACTAGACCTTTAAGTCAAAGGCTCCGGTCGTGGCCCCCTGAGAAAACCACCTACTTCGGTTTGGGCACCTGGGCAGTATCACAGCCCTCACACAAATCGAATGAGATTTGTGAGGCGCATATTTATCTGGTGCTCCTTTGTACCAATATTTATGTGTTTAAATAAATAAATAATAATAACATACTGAGAAAATTGTCATGTCAGTGACAAATTATTTGCTAAGTGATTAGTCCTAATTAACCTGCTTGTTTGTAATGTTAGATAAATAAAATATTTGACTATCATGCGGTTCATATTTCACAGACTGGGACTATCAATTTAGTTTGGTGTTTTTTGTATCTGTTTTGTTGTATAAGTTGAATCCATCAGTTCGGAGAGGAACTCTAAGGGAAGTCAGATCCAGATATAATACTCTGACAACTTGTTACTTTTTTTTTAAAAAAAGGTTAACAGACTAACGAAGAGAAAAAAGGCTTCATTCATAATTTAATGTATTTCATTTATCATTTGGCGTATATAACAGATATTTAAGAAACTGTCATTTGTCAGATAATTGCCTGAACTAACATGTGTATATGGTATCCTACTTCAGTGTATACTAACTAAATATATCTGAACAATCACTTATTTAATATCAACTTTTTTATGTTCTCATTAACTGTTGTTTGTCGTGCATAATATTTATTGATCAAATTGTCATTTATAACAATCTAATTATTGGTATTACGAAATCACCAACCCGATGTGACTTTGCATACTTACCTTTAAGCCACGCTTTACGTGTGATAACATCTAGTTATTTAAACTGAGGTAGGTGAAGTGGGGTTTGGACATGCAAATTACTAACTGAAAGTCGAACATCTTAACCAGTGAATCATTACTCCACACTTCTCTTCTTTCGAACGAATTTTTACATGTCTATCGCTTTGTACGAACTTACTTGAGTGTTGTAATTAAATGTGTAAATGTTTCGCTGTTGATTAGATACTGATCATTTTTAGATGTTGACTTTTGATTTATTTGCTGTGATTTTTCTCTAATGTTCATTTTTCGTAACTTCCGTAATTACCTTTTTAGATAATACCTTTTGTTATGAATTAGGATACTGTATTGTTTTCCATACTAATAATGAATTGGGTGGTCTATATTCATCGAATTTCGATACATAGATTTAACTACTTCATGAAGGTTAGTACATCAGTTAAATTGTTTATAACTAATTGGTCATTCGTATACAACTACAATTTCTGTCTATTTTGAGATGCGTGTTAACTCGTTAAAAATTGAACATAAATTTTTTAATGGGTTCGGATGATATTCATGAACCACTATTCTACTTTTTAAAGTGTATTATTTGTTGTAATACATCACTTTATGTTCTACTATTTAGCTAACTGATTGAGAAAGACCTATATTTGAGTCTATATATCAGTAGGAATTTCAACAAATACCGGGATACAAATACACTCAACTAACAACAGATCATTTGACAAAATGCAGCTTTTTAATCTCAAATTTTATTAGTACTTAAAATTATAGCGTTATGTAATGTATGAGTTTGTTAAAATGTTCATTTAGAAATTGGTTCAGTCTTTCTAAAGTTTTCTCTATCGTCCAATCTTACTAATTTGGTTAATCGTAGAGTTTGTGAGTGTAAAACGATAATTTACTAGCAGAAATCAACAATTATCACATAATCTCAAAAGCTGATTGAAGCTAAAAATCTCAGTAATATAAAACTATCGTGCTTGGCGTGAGACCTGATGTGACGAATTACAGTGGAATACCTATCCACTGCTCTCTAGTTTTCCGTATGTCTCTAACTGATATCATGCTTTGAAAGAGTTACTTTGAACTCTACAATAAAGTTTCGCACGACTTTGCTTAATAGTTATATTTTTATTACGCTTTATAGTAATTGTTAAATCTATTAATTCTTAAATCACTTAAAAACCATATTGACGTATACCTTTTGCTATCGATATTCCAATGTAGACTTCTGATTATTTCATCAGACGTACTTAGATGAGATTGTAAGGCCTAAGGTACTATCATAATACAGCTTATGTGTTATCACATAAATCGTTTAAACAATAAATTTGGTAGTTATTTTAATCAAATGAAAATCCTTAATATACTCGTTATCTAAATTTAAAATAAAACAGTTATTCTTAGCCTTTGTTACTATTCAACTTTTGTTAGAGTACTTGTGTGAGTTATCCTTTCACTACAAATATACGTGTTCATTTGATGCATTGAATATTGGACTAACGTTATATCATTACTTATTCAGTTAATTGCATTTTAATGCAAGGTAACCCAAAAGAAATTTCAAGAATAAGTGAAAAACATAAGGCTTATACATTTTTACGTAACTTATCGTTGTATGTATATCTATTGGCCTATAAATCTGGTGATACTAGTCTTTGTACTTCGTGATATTTACTCCGTTGTTCTTTTCAGTATAGCTATTGTTTTATATTAGTATATATTATAACTAATGACTACTAAAATATTTTTCTTACAACTCATCTGTTTTGTATTTAGTTTATACAAAGTCAAATAAGAGAAATTAATACAACCTTATCGCGTCATTTGCGAGTTTACAGTTTACTCTCATGTGTTATCTGGTTATTACTTATCGGTGCATTCTTACGCACAACTTGGAATGTATCCTATTTAATCGTGAATCAATCAAGTTATGGTGATAATGCAAATTTAAACAAATATGATGATCATTGGAAACCAACTATTCATACTGTATCACGGTTAACTGATGCAATGCTTAATTTATGGCCTGTGTATATTGCGAAACATATTCTGCCATCAAGTGATATAACTTTGGTAATTTAATTTACATGTCCGTTTTGTAGGTCTAAGATAGTATAGATTAATTAGTATCAGTTTATTTTGATAAGTGCTTCAATATGAAGCCATATATTGTCATTAATAGTTGTTGCCTGTATTCATATAAACGCTTTTAAAGCACTGGCTTGACTTTAACCATCAAGCATACTGCTTCCAGCTATAGGTCACGTATCTGTGTTCTGCTTCATCTACTTTAGTTTAGAGAACCTCACACAAACAGCATTTTTCAAAGTAGACTGTATAAATTTGTATTCTGTTGATGAGTTATATTATCATTAATAGTTATTCGAGATGTGTCTTTTTATCCTGTTCTGTGCAAATCATTTTCGATCAAAATTACTTAAATCTTGGGAAAGTACCTTATATTTATCCTATTGTTGGCTTTCATATCACATACGTAGTTCTAAATTCATCAAATGTGGATAGTGATATAATGGATTTTTTGAAGTATCATGTAAATTTGATGACGAGTCAGTATTGGCTGTGTAGCGTATATATAGCATGTAATCCTAGTTCTATAATATATTATACTACCCCCTAATGCCCTGGTACGACTGAGTGTGGGGAGAGTCCTCTCTCCCTCTCGAAACGTTCTAATATGGCTACGCGCATATAGACACTGTCAGGAAAATCCCGCTCATTGTTTATGAAATTGAGATGGCGAAAAGTGAATATCCGGCGCTTAGACCGGATTAGTGTGTACGGTTGATTCACCTTCGGGGAGTTGGAAAACCCTGATTTTAAACCAATGGTACACATGGGCTCCTGGAGCCTGAGTCAGTAAATGGTATATAAACCCTAACCTTGGTAACCAGCTAACATGAGATCGCATCTCCTAACCTTGATTCAGAGTTTTGTGTATTAGACCTCTAGGCCAACGACTCCGGAAATGGCCGTTTACGAAAGCCATCTTCTTCGGCTTGGGTACCTGAACACTATCCCAGCCCACACACAAATACAATGATTTGTGTGGTACATATTTATTTTGGCACCTCTTTATATCATTTATAAGAACTTTCGTCTAAATTAGAGCGAATAGTTTCACAGTATTTGAGCGCCGAGTTGATGTAAGGCATTATATAGGAATAATATATATTTGTAAAATCTCAGCGAATGAATTTGTTCGCTGAGATTTTACAAATATATATTATTCCTATATAATGTCTTTATATCATTGTTTATGTATTCAAATAAAGCGATAAAGATCATATTAACTTTTGCTGACTAAAACATTATTATTATTATTATTATTATTATTATTATTATTATTATGCTTTATTTATTATCTTATGAATGTTTTCCAAATAAACTGTTTAGAAAAAACCAGAATATGTTGAATAAATATTCCGTTTCGACTTAGAGCTTGACGATAATTATTTTTAATCCTACGGAGTTTAAGTCATTTTGTTAGTATTTTCCCAATTATTTTCTCCATAATCTTATGTTTACTTAGATTATACGAAGCTGACTACCACCAGGTGGTTTGGAACAAAATTGTCTGTTTCCTATGTGTTTATGTAATTTTTTTTGTCTGATAGTAAGTTTTGAATACATTTTATTCATTAAGTCTGCTAAATGTTTCATCAGTTGTTCTCTGTTATTTTCCGTTCACTATTTTCATAGATTACTTTTAGTAGTCAGTCACCGTTTCCATTTGCTAGTCAGTTAAATTCTGTAATGGAATTCGATAAACGAGAACAGTACCGAGTATTCTTAACTAATGCATTTCATGGTAAGTTTATATATAAGTGTTAGAATTCAGTGGTTGTAATCTGTCTTGGATTCTTTTTGTATTTATACGTTGTACTCAAATTCGTAAAATATTTCTTTCAAAGGCTGATAAAAATTGTTTTTTTAGGTTCCACATTGCTATTCATGATTTTACTGTTATCAATTTAAGCAAGTTTTAATTACTTTGATCTGAAGAAGGCGATTCTATACTTTTTTTCTCTGTATCTAATTGACAGTTTATTTTAATTACTGAGTACATTTTTTCACATGTTTTAGTTAATACTTATGTTAAATTTATTATATACAGTACTTTTCTACCTGGACTTACACTGAGTAGTAATGTATTCTTTTGAGTAATACATTGTTTCTCTTCATAAACGTATATATAGCAGATGATGAGAAACCACGAAATATGATGAATTCATATTATTCTGCATCAATGTTTGTTCTGGGTTTATTTATCACAGTTCCTTTCGTTTAAATAAATTTTTTTCTTAACTTTCACGTATTATATGTGATAATCAAATCCATACATGAACATATAAAAGCTTAATACTGTATATGTGATAAGTCTATAATTACCCAGTAATAACGTTTTGTGATGTATGCTAATGAGGGATTAACGATAATTAATATAATCTAGAAAGTTAATATAATTTAAAGCCAGTTCAAGGTTCTTGTAATAGACATTATAACTACAGTCATTATCGTGTTTGAATGGTCTGAGTGGGTATTAATTCAGTGACCCAAAAGTATGTAAAAGATACTTTGATAAATCTATTATTTTTGAGTCATAATACGTTCAATGTTTGTCTGTTCTGACTCCGTTCGTTAATACAGTAAACATTTCTACACTTAAGTTGATCTTGTTACAAGTTGAATTCTCATATACACTATACAGATTTATGTTGCTACATTAAAAGTGATATTCCACTAATAATATTTGCTTATTTTCATCTAATCCCTTTTTCTTCTAAGCACTCATTTATTTTACCTAAGTAAATCTATCAACGATTTCAATAATCTCTTACTGACGATCATCATGTACTGACTAGTGACTACCTTTAACAGGAAATTTCTGGAGTTCTAGTGAGAAGCCGTGACCAGGGAAGCTAACCCGCGTTAGGTGTAAGGGAGTTTCACACCAAAGACAATGGGAGATGGTTGCGCAATGTCGTGGATTGATTGAAGTTAGGCATTAACACCGTTGGATGCATAGGTCTAGGGGTTGGGCGTTTACGCACGATGCGGAAAGTCCTCCTTGCGGGATCGTAGGTGTGCACTGTTGAATGGTTCTATGCTAGGACGAAACGCCCGTCCTGTGCTTCCAAATTTTCAATGATGTTCTGACTTGAATCGGCTCATGGTTTAAATGAAACCCATCAAAGCTAAAATCTGTCGACCTTTATATTCTCTTTCTGAAGTTCCTTGTTTTCAGCAAAATGAAAATGTCCTCGTTTTTTCACGTGTTTTAGTTTCTTTGTGATGCATATTTTTGTGTCTAATAATTAACGCATCTCGATCATTATCAGTCTAGAAGAGTAAAAATGATCAAATATATACTTAGAAAACAGTTAAATTATTTTGTTTAGTGTTTGCTTTAATAATAATACATATTATGAAAATACTAATTACAGAATTCACGCCATTTTACCGGCATGATCAATTTGATATAAATAGTATGTTACAGGTGTATTAACTCGAGGTTTGAGTAACACTTAGTGTAAAGACTATTGATAATATAGCTACTTAAACCATCGTAAGCAAAGTGGGGTTCTAACTTCAAGTTTAATGATTGAAAATTAAGCTACTGAACTACATTAAAGAGTATACCTTCGTGTACATACATAAATATGTATTTTAGTAGTCTCTGTTCTGTATTCGAAGCAAATTTTTTTATTAGAACCTTATGCACTGGGTTGTATTTTATGACGATATCTTAATTCTAAAACAGATTTTCTATATTAATAATAATAATAATTACTAATATTATAATTTAGTTATTTCCGCAATATTTTTCCGCTTTATTGTCCAATTGATTGATGAAGTAGTAAATCTTCATCAACTTAGGTGGTTGGAACATGAGTTAGGTATGCCCGACCATCGATCATCTCGATGAATGATGTTATCTGGCGTAAGAGGATGCTAAGAGAAAGATAGAGGCAGCCAAACCGAAACATGTAATCAGTCCACAAATCAGTGACAATTGAATCTATTCATTTTGCACACATATGGACTACACCTGGTTTGGATCCGCATGATTATCGTAACCAGTGGTTAGAGACTTTGAATGACATGGTTCAAATTCGTTTGCTATAGTGCAGGTGCATCCGTTCCTAAGGTTATAAGCTTTTTAATCTCTGAAAATTTTCTTTTATTTCACTAAATTATATATTCTGGAATTGTATCTCCAATACCTAATTGTTTTTGTTACCACTGATAATGTGACTATCTCTACTATTCTGAGATCCGCTTCAATAATTTCATCTCTCTGTGCTATTTGATTATGACAACTTGAGCTGATGCACGTACGTACCATTTTCTATTCTCTGACTGTATGACTTTATTGTCAACTTCTATGTATAAAACGTAGTTGTAAATGCGATAGTAAAGATTCTGTAACAGAAAAGAAAATTTTCTTAACTGAACTGCCAATTTCGAGAAATTACGATATCACCTAGGACCGGCGAACGGAACGAAAGTCATCAACACAGTAACAGGACAAGATAAGCTATTCCCCTGCGCCTCAGTCCGACTAAAGAAAAGGACTAAACTAGGTTCAGCTGATAAAATATATAGTTCCTCGAGCAACCCGGAAGAACGAACGAACAAGAGACACACAACTCGTGTATAAGTACAATACAGAAATGTCCTTGGAAAACGTCCAAAAATGACGTACTGAAGGAGGAAACGAATCAATAACATCTATGGTCCTCCCAGGTAGGAAACACAACCCGAATGAGCTCTTTTAGCACAAAAATGAGAAACTCAAATTTCCATAACAAGATTGCAGAAATGAAAAGTTTACTGAATGATTTCTGGGGATCTAGCATTCTTAACATGAACTATCTTCATGTTTTAACAACATAATCATAAATATTCTTTAAAAAAGTATTCTATTCAACTTTATTCCTCATGAATTTAGCCAATAATCATAAGTTCGCATTATTTAATCAATAAAACTCGGTAAATCTTGTTTCTCACAGTATCACTATGGTTACGACTTATCAAACACTATATGTAATCATTAAAATATGTACACGCATACCAGTTGTATACAAAGTAAAGTCAGGTTATTTAGTTCTTTTTTATTAAGATTGGAAGTAAAAATGGTGGTAAATTTTGAATGGAAACATTAAAATAAATGTATAGTAGAAAAAAGTCTATTGTTTGAACGGTATTAATTTTTTGTTGTTTAAAATTGTAGGTTTAAACAATACAATAACTTTAGATCTCAGATTATATAATGGAACGTGATTTTATTCCCAAATTTTATCGATATTTGTCCATATTTCAACTTAATTTGTTTCTAGTGGTTGTTCAGTTTTTTATAGAAAGGATTCAGATCTAAATTTATTACTATCATTATAGAATGGTTCCGTTGTTGTTAATTTGTTTATTTTAGGTTTGATCACCCGATTAATATGGATTTATCCATCCTGGAAACAATCATCTGTCAATCAATTTTATAAGAAATCACAATTTCATGTTGGTTTAGCTCAAATAAACTTAGTGGAAGATGATGACGATAACAATAAAAATAATACTGCTACTACTAATAGTAATACTGGCTTGGATGCTAATTTTCCATCAAGAATTGCAACTTTTTGTTTATGTAATCCGGCTGAAAACTTTTGCAGTTTACCGTTGCTACCCTCAGTATGTTATTCGCGTGTATAGAAGTAAATTTCTTGTGGCAAGTTTTTGTTCGGCATAGATTGTTATTTGCCCATATTCTCTGGTTGCTCTATAACTCTTACAATTCTCAGATTTATTTGATTTAGTGCTTCAATGTGCTTCCCATGGTGTGTTAATTAATTCTTAGACAAAATAGTACAACTTATCGACTAGTACTTGAAACAGTCTGTAGTTAATAACCTGCGTTTTTTTACCTATCAATACGTGTGATATGCTCTCGTCGATTGTATTCTAATCTTACAATGTATTAGGTTGTTACAGGCTTTTTGGTCTAAAACTCTAGACTTAGGTTTTACGCTAGTTGAAACCCGTCGTTAAAAACAGTAATCTTGAAGAAACCTGAGCTTTGAACCCGCGTCACTAATTCTGATAGTCTTGGACGTACCCAATGAACTACACAAACCGCAACTGAAGTTTTGTAGGTCTGAGATACGTTAATTTATCAGTGAGTTGTAACCGATGTCACGTTTGTCTAGCCCTTAGTACTAATTGAATCCTATTGATCGAGTTACCTTGTGACCACTGATCCAAGTGACTCAATGTTTCGTTTATTATGTCCAGATTCCAACTTAATTGACATAATTCGATCAGTATTAGTTATTAAATAAACACAACATTGGACACTACTCAGTGATCAATCAATCTTATATTACTTCAATTCTATAAAAATTTATTGCGAAACATTATTCTACACTTATAAATGATCTCTGAATGAGTATAACCTATGATGTTATTATCTTTAGATGAAATTTTTCTTTCATGAATTCAAATTTCAATCATTATCTTTAAATGTAACTATATGTACATTTAGCAGAGATGGATAGTGGCTAGCAGTGAAATCCAGGACGCGCGTTTCATCCTGTTTGGGACTCGTCAGCTGGATATACCTGCATCTCAGAGTTGATGTTGACTCTGGGACTCGAACCCAGTACCCTCGCTTCAAACGCCATCGCGTTATCCACTCGGTCATTGGGTCCTGATAGCCACTTGCTTGTGCGATGGGGTGAAGTTTAAATTCAACTTAGTATTGTTTGTTTGAATCTTCCCATCGATTTGTTAGGACTGCAATTGATCAGTCTTTAATAGGACGAGTCCCAAATAGGACGAAACGCGTGTCCTGGATTCCACTGCTAGCCACTATCCATCTCTGCTAACCATGCTTGTGAATTAAGGTATATCGAGGCAATACGCACAGTATGCACATATGCCAATTAGAGACTGACCAGTTGCAGTCCTAACAAATCGATGGGAAGATTCAAACAAACAATACTAAGTTGAATTTATATGTACATTTAGTTTAGTTAGATTTCAAATCGGCGAACATATCTATACTATCAATGTTTATTTTGAAATAAGCACAACAATGTCAGACTTTTCATTTATTAGGTTTATCTCCTTGTTACTTGTGAGGATCGGTACTTAGTTATTGAATTACAGATTTCATATCTCTTATTGTAACCCTATATATTTCGTGTGACAAGTGGTGCTGTCAATTGGTGATGATAATATGTTCTTTAACAATGATATATTATTTAAAACTTGAGATATTGCAAACAATGCGCTTTGTAACCCCTTAGAAATGCACCTCATAGACTTTTAATGGAATTAAACCTACAACTTTTAGCCTTCATAATAAGACCAGTGTTAGTTAGTGACTAACCACGTGATAATTCTCTCGAATGTTAAGCAGGAAGTCGTGACTTTTAAAGCCAATTACAATTAAAGCGTTTACTAATAACTCAGTTATAAAACCGTATGTTAGTTGTGCCGTCTCGAAATGTTTGAAGCTATAAAATGTAATCGCTTGAATGTATATTCAGTTTTCGTATGGTTTTGGACTTACTTTGATACCAGAAGGTTATGCATTTGATTTCATACACAATAGAGTAAATATTTAGTTTTTGGGTTTCCACTTCTTATCTTTCTATCATCAAATTATAATGCAAATTAGCTTCTAACAACTAATTTTTATCAGTTAATGAGTTAAGATTTAGTTCGGTATGAAAAAATACTCTATTAAGTATTATGTAATATAGTCCATTTACTTTTTGTAATACAACAATTTGATTTTCAGTCAACGATTCACATACCAAGGGAATCTTGTTCAGTGGCTAACAGTTTTATTTATGAAGAAATAGTTGATTTAATGGCTGAATCAATTTTATCTCAAGGTGGAAATGAACGTTCAACAAAGGATTTAATTTATTTGTTTTCGCTTGAATCGTATTTTCAATCAGACAAATCAACGTTATCCAAAAAATCATCATCACCGCCATCTCATACTTCATCATTTCATAATAAACGAACTGTGTGGATTGATTATCTATCCATATTACACATAGATATGAATTATTTTATTGAATCTATTACAACAGTGAATAAAACACCATCTGATTTATCGTCTTGGTTTATTGATTATCTTCGTATGAATTCATTGAATGACAGTAGTGTAAATTTCAGCACAATTGAGCCTCTACTGAAGAATGATTACATGAGTTCAAAAAAGAACGTTAATCATATTGTTGACAATAAAGATAATAACATTAATGGCAATCACATTCCAACTGTACCAGCTTTAATAATTCATCAGGTTTGTTTTACTTGTAATCAGAAATTTGGAAAATGCTTAACTTCTGGATTGTTTTTTATTGAGAAAAAAGGTGTAAATCATCCGACAAATAAAAGTTTAAACACTCAACTCTTATCCACATTGTTTATATTCAGGCTAGTAGTACTACTCGAGTGTTAGTGAAGTTCGATAGGAGTCGAAGTCTTTAGATATTAAGTCATTGCTCCATACGTTGCGTAATCAGGACTCCGAACCAATGTCAATGAATGCACTAATCACTCATAAGTTTTCTTCAATCTTATTCTTATTGTCGAACCACATTGATCATTTCATTGTTGCTTATGCAGAAATTGTTTGTGTTATCGACATATTGCGTCTAATTAACTGTCGTTTTAATTGTTAATCCCATAAACTAAGGGGTTGAAACCATCTAATGGACTTCAGATATGGATAATGATCATAACTGGTTCAATATACGAATAATCTTCATTATGAAAAATATTCATATTGTATTTATAGTAGTGACCTATCTTTTTCGATACCTCTTTAGAATAATACCATACCTAAGACAAATTAGTACCGTATTATTGGAAAATCCTGATCTCAGACTTTTGGTAGTCTCTATCTTTGAAGTTGTGTTGAACAGTAGCTTGTTCCATCTGTTTACAATTAACATAGAGTAGTGAACAAGACTAAATTAAGTGAAAGAGGACTGTAGAAGTTTAGAGCATCGGTGGTTAGTAACATAACGATAATACTTTAAATCTGTGTCTTTGTAAATTTTTATTTGGTGAACTGTTAGAAATTATGAAACTCAGTTATTCTGTTTATCGTTCATGTTTGGTGCACTGTAACACTGAGAAATTATTACCATAGATTAAACTGATTAAGATTTCTCGGCGATCACGGTACATTTTGACAGAATTTCATTTCAGAACACGTTTCAGACCCTAATGAATTTATGGTAGAGGGTGAATAATGTTCTAACCATTTTGCTAATTAACTGCCGTTTGAGATGTGTACGGAAATATTTAGACTCATTTGTGTAAATGTACTGTGTGTTATACAAGACTCACATTTATTGCTACCTGAGGTATGAATAGGCTGGAAGAAAACCAGGAGCAACCAACCTGAGACGTGCCATCAGTTCACGAAGTTACTAACTTTCAGATCAAAGCTTGTTGATAGGAGCAGACTACTTGAATGAAATTAGTCCGATAATCCCTACCAGTAGTTGGAGACGTTGGCTAACATGATCAAGAATTGGTCGTTTTAGAGTAGATGGATTTTCTCTCTGTTTCACATCTAAGTCTTGAGTTTCAGCATTCTTTCATGCACACTTTCTTTTCGAACCATAGTATCATTTTTCGTACTCACTATCACTGACACTAACATTATTCTGACTCTTGCTATCAGTTTAGGTAAGTTCTTTTCATCCTGATGTGGTAATGGTAACTATAACATGCCCACTTCTACCAGACTTTTTTAAAATTTTAACTAACTAGGTGGGGGAGTTGAGATTATATTTATTGGTAACTATCATAGAAAAAACTGATTACACAATTATGAAACAATTTTGATAAATTGAACGTGTTAGGTAAAATATATTTGTATAATCAGTGCAAGTATGTGACACAATTATTCTTACTATGCCGTAGTTAAGCAAAGATGGATAGTGGCTAGCAGTGGAATCCAGGACGCGCGTTTCATCCTATTTGGGACTCGTCAGCCGGATGTACCTGCATCTCAGAGTTGGTGTTGACTCTGGGACTCGAACCCAGTACCTTTCGCTTCAAACGACATCGCGTTATCCATTCGGCCACTGAGTCCTGATTAGAGACTGACCAGTTGCAGTCCTAACACATCGATGGTAATATTCAAACAAACAATACTAAATGAATTAATGCCGTAGTTAGTTTAAAAACCTCTTTTCTTCTATACACCAGGGTTATATAAGTACTACTTGATGTAAATGATCCTTCCAAAGTGGGGTAAAAGTCACGTTTTATTGTTGTTGTCGCTTTTCTTTGTTATAATTATTTCCAGTACTTTAAAAACATGAGAAAAAATTACGATCGTAAAAGCGATTATTATTTTTCTTGTTTACATTACAGTACACTATGTTATTAAAAGACGTGTATAATAAGTTATCATATTTATCATTAGCTGAACATGATCCTTTAATTAATAATATTAATCAATTCATTAATTCAATGCTTCTTTTTATAACTACACATGATCCGAATCTATTATCATACTGGTCAAATCAATCATTGATATCTAGTACATCTTGTTGTTATTTAAAGCCTTCCATTGAATTACTTTCATTAAATTTAAATGAAAATATTAATGTTTTTAATCAATGGAAAGATAAATATCGGATAGCATTTTATTATCTTGATAATTATTGTTCACATTCGGATGCAATGATTGATGTTTTATTAAATAAACCGACAGTAAGTTGTTGTCTATTTTTATTCTTAAGATGAAATTCAGTTTCCGTTAATATGAAATAAATGCCCTGCATTTTTTTGTTTACCTTAGAAGCTCAGTTGTTTTCGTTGATGTATTTAACTATGAGATCCAGAGTTTAAATTTTTGTATATTTACTCCAGTTTTGAGTAGACAGTTTGTATTATTCGGTTTTATATAATGTCTGTACATAGTATAACAAGTATAATCGACAAATTAAATAAACCTCCACAAAAGGTTCTACTAAACTATGCTAGTCCCTAATGTTCTAGTGAGAATGCGTGACCGGTAGTGTTTGGATTGTGAAACAGTTGTTATCAATGGGGTTGGTCACAAATTAATTGAAGTTGAATTTACCATTGGGAGGCTAGCTGGTGGGACTGTAATGTTTAGGCGTTAGCCATGAAACTGGGATGCCTTGAGTTGGATTTCTGGCTGCTTCTAGTTGTTCACTTCTAAAGAGTTCAATGCTATTACGAAACCAAAGTTTATTGCTCCCTAGATTTTCGTTGTATCTCAACTGAGATCAATCTGCAACGAATACAGTTCAGAAATTAAATTAGTATCCTCAAACCGTTATCAAACTAAATCGTATCATTTACAAAAGGCAGTTATTACATTATATGAAGCATTGATAAATATCAGTCCGATTGTTATTGTTTATCTGAAGAAACTGTTAGATATCTTATTTAATTAGCACGAAAAATATACAAAAATTACTAATCAATTTACTTAAAAATACATTTCATCGTGTTAAAAAAAGATAATTACCGAAATATTTATAAAACGTTGATCTAATCAAAGAAATCATCCAGCTATTAAACTTACCAATGAAGAGGAGAAAGATAACAATATAGCTCCCCTTGATTTCCTGCTTTCTAGAAGGCTAGATGGTCCCATAGAAAGAAATTTATTTCGAAAGAATAAATGGACTGATTAGAATACTTACTTTCATAGCTTACACATCTTCAGTACAAAATAAATCTGGTTGAATTTCTCAACCAAGGAATCAAACTATTATATTCTGAGGATAGTGTAGATGGTGTAAAAGGTAAACTACGAAATATTGACTATTCAGATAATTTCGTCAAATGTATCTATCAGAAAGGACAAAAAGAACATATTCCGACATGACCAGCAAGACGACCTTTTGTCTAAACCTCGACTTTAAAAAGGGACATAGCGAGTGATATTTTAAGACATTGACTCGAAAGATCTGTTGAATGGACAGTTCACACCGCTAATTTACATTTAATCTCAAATAAACTAGTACTTGCACAACAAATCAATAATAGGTTACCGATGATGGGCTCTTCTACGCGTGTTTATTAAGTTAACTGCTCCTGTGGTGATACTTACATAGGCCGTATTCAGAGGGTTTTATCCTTGAGTAGTCATGAACTCCAGAAAACATAACATATGTATCCAAAAAAAGTATGTTTGGCCTCTGTGTTTACCTTGGTGCACGACTAGATCACTATATGGATAGACTGGATATTATGAATCCCTTACTTACTTACTTACGCCTGTTACCCCTCGTCGAGGAGCATAGGCCGCTCACCAGCATTCTCCATCCAACTCTGTCCTGAGCCTTCCTTTCCAGTTCTTTCCAGTTGCTATTCATCCTTTTCATATCGGCTTCTATTTCCCGGCGTAGTGTGTTCTTTGGCCTTCCTCTTTTCCGCTTCCCTTCCGGATTCCAAGTTAGGGATTGAGTCGTGATGCATCCCTTACCCTCCTCAATTCCTTTAGTATTTATATCTTTCTTAATCTGTACATTCATCTTTCTCAACTCGCATAAATTTCTTATCATAACTACCTAGACAGCACTTCTCTTATTATATTCTCTATTCACATGAAGTTATTATTATTATCTCCATTAACGAAATGAAACTCTCGTATTGATTTTATTCACACGATCTATTTTATTACTATTATGTTGATGATAACTTGACATCTTATAATGAGTTTTTTGGTCTTTGGTAAGTGACATTTCCAATTTTATTTATGACCTTTGTTAGTTAACGGTAACATTTACAGTTTCCGTAGTCAGTGGTCTAGAGATCAGACGTTCGAGCGCAAAATCGAAGGTCCTAGTTTCGATTCCCGTATGTGAGGTTGTGGATACAACTTGCTATGCAGTCCTCATACTAGGACGAAACGCCCGTCTAGTGCTCTCAGGTATTCAATGACGTTCTAACTTGGGTCGGTTCGTGATTTTAGTAAAGTTTAACAATCTCCACAACCTGTCACTGATAGTCAACAAAATTAACTGGTCAAGGTTCAATATACGTCCCTTTAGTTCGTCTGTACTTTGTATTTTGGTTAAATGATACAATGGACATGTCAGAATCAATTAGATGACTTGGAATTCGCAGATGACTAGCCCTCCTATCCCATACATACGAACAAATACAGACGAAGACAACTAATGTAGCAGCAGTCTCTGCATCAATAGGCCTTAACATACACAAAAGAAAGAGCAAGATTCTCAAATACAACACGGAGAACGCCAACCCAATCATACTCGATGGTGAAGTCCTGGAAGAGGTGAAAACATCCACGTACCTGGGAAGCATCATTAATAAAAAAGGAGGATGGGATGCAGACATAAAGGTGAGCATCGGCAAAGCAAGGACCTCATTCCTACAATCGAAGAACATATGGAACTCAAAACAACTGTCTGTCAAGCAATATCAAAGTGAGAATCTTCAATACAAATGTCAAGACAGTTCTACTGTACGGAGCTGAAACCTGGAGAACTACTACATCCATCGTCAATAGGGTTCAAGTATTTATAAACAGTTGTTTACGCAAAATACTCGACATCCATTGGCCGGATACTATCAGCAACAGCCTCTTGTGGGAAGGACAAACCAGCCTCCTGCTGAAGAGGAAATTAGGAAAGGACGTTGGAAGTGGATCGGACATACATTAGGGAAATCACCAATGTGCATTACAAGGCAAGCGCTAACTTGAAATCCGGAAGGGAAGAGGAAAAGTGGAAGGCCGAAGAACAGCAACAACCTACTGTGGGGGAGAACAAACGAGATTTCAGCAGAGAAAGAAATCAGGAAGAAGCACTTGAAGTGAATAGGACACACTTTGAGAATATCACCCGACTGCGTCACGAGGCAAGCCCTCAAATGGAATCCTGAAGGCCAAAGGGAAAGAGAAATACCAAAGAACACATTACTCCGAGAAATATAGACAGATGTGAGAAGAATGTACAAAAATGGGATAGAACTAGAAAGGAAGGTCCAGGAAAGAGTGGGTCGGAGAATGCTGGTCGGCACCCCATGCTTCATTGGGAGTGACAGGCGTAAGTACGTAAGTAAAGAACACAATGCATCGGGAATCGGAAATAGACATGAAAAGAATGAATAGCAACTAGAAAGAACTGGAACGGATTGCCCAGGAGAGAGTTGGATGGAGGATGCTGGTGGGCAGCCTATGCTCCTCCACGATGAGGTAACAGGCGTAAGTAAGTAAGGACAGCTGATGGCATACTTCAAATTCAACGTTATTGATTGTCTTAGTTATTATCAGCATAAACCTATCCATTTAGAGGTCATATTTGCGATATCATTTGCAACTGACTTTGTCTTAAATTAATTCATCGTTTTTGTATAATTTTGCATGAACCTAATCTTATTTACGTTTTTGTTTTCTATGTATGAATTATTATTCATATTTTTATTTTGTTTAAAGATTATGGTTGGTGCGAAAAAAGAATTATCAAGATTATGGAGTTGGTTATGTAAATTGAATTCAGTTACATTAAAATTCATTAGCCAATTTGTAGTCTGTACCTATCAAAATGAGAATCATATACAATCAATTGGTTTGTGTAATCGTGAAAAGTTCTCATTAATTTCATTTGATGAAATACCTAAAGTTCAAAGAAGTCCTTTTACGCTATATACATTACAAAGTATCATCACGTATTTACCTCGTCCATTATCTGTGAATTTAGTAATGTAAGTGGATAAAATTTACTTACATTAATTAAGTTTGAGTAATTTATGTGTTAGTGTATCCTTAGAATTCTCGAATATTTCTCAGTTAATTTACCTTGGTGATAAAATCCTCTTGACTGTGATAATTGGTGTTAAAGTCTTCAACTAAAAGGTTGACATTGAAGTTGTTACATGTCACAGAATAATTAATTTTGACTATCTTCAAATAAATATTACGTATTTGTTTTTTTGATCGGTAGAGTGAAATTCTAACCTAGTTGCTACCCAGTGTTTGATATTAAACAACTATAAATAAAACCCCTTACACATTTTGTTGTTTACTTTTTGTCAATTTAATTGAATTACAGATAAAATTTCGCAATATAACGAAATGTATTGGTATTTACCTTTCAGTTACAATATTTCACCAAAGCTATATGAAGAAAGTAAACGGAATCATTAAAAGATTGGTAAAAAATAAAGCTGTGATTGTGATAATGTTTGGGCTAGTGGTCTGCAATAAGTTCTAATTACGAACGATTGAGATCGTCTCTGATGTGAACAGGATCCAATGTGAACTAAATGGATCGAGTGGATGACACATCATTTCGAAAATTGTCCTTAATGCAGTGGTTAATATAAAAATATGAATTAGAAAAACCCAGGACTTGGGTTCGAAACTCGCGAAGGCGGGATCGTGGATGCCCACTGCTCAGGAGTCCCACAATAGGGCGAAACGGCCGTCCAATGCTTTCGGGTTTTCCACGGTGGTCTAGCTTCAATTGACTCATGATCTTGACTATTTAAAGTTACTAAAATCTTCACAAACCCCCCTTGTGTCAAGTGTTTTTGTCAGTTTATATCTAACTGATTATTCTTTTGCATTTTTTTCGCAATCTCTTTATTAGGCATCCATCATGGGAACAAATTCTTCATAAAATGCATCTGTCTACTGAATTGTGCAATATGCTCAATGAATATATTCTAAATAAACAGGATAAACATCTTTCGCGGGGGAAGAACAAGAAGTAAAAGGATGGAAAGTAAATGAAATATCAACTTATTGCAATAATTTATATCTAGTCAATTTGATTTTTTTGTTACTTCTTTATAATAAATACAGATATAATTCATTATTATCAATAGATTATTGAATTCCTTTCGCCAATCCATTAAAAATAAAATAATTATACATTGTTTAAATATTATCATTTCAATATATTTATTATATAGATAGGTATGTGCCTTTTAGTCTCTTACTGATGCTCTTCATATTGTACTCACAATCATTTTATGTGTACAAAAGTGTACACATATACATATATCATTGTTGGAGATTCTCTTTAATTATTTTTATTTTAAATGTACACTTACCTTTTTAATTTATTGTTAATTTTACAGTTTTTTGTTTGTTTGTTTTTGGATGTATTTTGTTTATACGTTATGTAATTTAGTTATTCATCTGTGCAGTTTAATTTCTTAGTTATTATGTTATGATTTATTATATAATTTATATAACTATCAATTAATAAACTATGTGTTCTTAATCTATTCTAACTTTAAAGATGTTGGACAGTTTTAATATCAAAATTACTGTCAACTAGTGACATATTCAAATATACACATTTAAAAAAGATAACTTACAATATATGTATACAGTGACAAATAGATACCTGGATAGGACTTCATTAAAATGTAATTAGTTGGTCTATACTTTGAAATATTAACCGTTTATTGACTTCTGCCTGAGTTCATAATCACTTCACTTCTATCGAATGAATTAGTTGGATTGTAAGTATTTACATATAATTAACTGATCTGACATTTTGACAGGTTTTGCTTTCTTTTACGAAATTTTTAAGATTATTTAAACAAACTTCTAGTTTGTGAGCTGGCTTGTGTAAACATTTAAATTGGGACATATTATAAAATTTTAAAGAATTCAACTTTTTAAAAAATCATTGTTTATTTCTTTTCTCGATCTATATTTTTATTTATTTATTTAAACACATAAATATTGGTACAAAGAAGCACCAGATACATATGCGCCGCACAAACCTCATTTGATTTGTGTGAATTCTGTGATACTGCTCAGGTGCCCAAACTGAAGCAGGTGGTTTTCTCAGGGGGCCACATCCCGAGCCTTTGACCTAGAGGTCTAATCCACACGGCAGTGGACCATCGTAAGAAGATGCAGTCCCATGGTAGCCAGTGACCAACGATTGATTCATACGCCTTTTGTTTCTTCAGGATACTGGAGCCCATGTGCACCATTGGTTTTGAATCAGGGTTTGCGAACTCCCCTAGGTGGATCCTCCACATCCATCAACGCGGTTAAAGCGCCGGACATTCGCTTTTCGTCCTCTGAATTTGGTTAAAAACAACCCCGCCACGAGAAGGCAGTGAGTGGGACTTCCCTGGCAGAAACTATATACGCGTGGTCATATGATAGGATTTCGAGAGGGAGAGCGGACTCTCGGCCGTACCAGGGCGTTTGAGGGCCTTTTCTCGATTAGTTGGTTTATGTTAGATATCCACTTCAAAGTAAACTGAATAATTAAAATATTTTAGACAGATTGAGATAACTTTAATTCGTTATGTGGTAGCAGCTTCGCAAATAACTTTTAATGATTAAAGAAATATGGGGAGAGTGAAAACTTTCGTAACTATCTTACGAATTATTGATTTATATACATTTATTAATCAACTAGACTATTGTATCTATATGTTCCTGGTAATCTAGACATTCATTAAACACAATAACCATTGCCATCATTTCACTATTCTTAAATTATTGCTTAGCGACTATTCACTATTTTCCATTTAATATCACTTCTGGTTTGGTGATGCATAAATTATGGTTTCCTATTTGGAGTTTGATAATTCATGCACATAATTTAAGTGCTTAAGGTTTGGTTGATGCTACATTGATTTATTGAACTCAGTATTAGAATAGGAAGAAAACGTTATTCCGGGTCATTTGACATTTAGAATAACCGATAACTTCTTAAAGGTAATCGTTATCGATAGAGGCGTGTAATTGCTCAGGACGATTCATATACGAATAAAGTATTCTGGGGGTAGATAATTACCAAGATTATGATTGGTGAATCTTCTCCAGTGACCGGTCAAGGTCGATAGTATCCACCTCAAAGTCACTCATATACTTCGAAAGCAAATTATAATTTCGGATTTTGTATGCCAAATTATCTTAAAGTTTACAGTACTATAACTATTTCATGTTTTCTCCGTGACATTATATTAGTAAATTTTATGTGACTACAAAAGTGATAGCTATTCGTAAAGATAGATATAAAATGAAACTAATACTACTTGCTGTTGTATCACTTTTATTAATCAGAAGTTGAATTGAACAGTTTATCATTTATTCCTACAGTAACCAGTCATTTTCATCAATAATTTCTAAAACAATAGACTATTAGTATTTAAAATTTTGAATTCTAATCTCTTATATGAATGAATGAATTCACATTATCCGAATTATATTATTAATGGTTTATTTGATTTCGTTTTTGCACGATACAAATAGTAACCAAATGGAATACACACATTGTTTATTTCTGTATTTTTAGGCGTTATCTTATTTCATGTTTACTTTCTATTGTCTTTTAGTTGGTATTATTGTTTCATTCACCTGGAAAGATTCTCCAGTTATTCCAGGTTAAACTGAGTACTGAAATTTAAATATATAAATGTTAATATGCATGTGACCTTTAATTTAATAAACAAATTGAGGGAATAAATATAGATTCTTAACGCTTCTTCAAAAGGTTGATAATGATTAATAATATTGGTCCCAATCAGATGATGGTCATTTAGTATTTATAAATTAATATTCGTAATTCATTGTCATGAAAAAATTGTGTATTTATTCATTTTAAATGTATTTCCATTAGGTAAATTGGAACATGCCTTCAGTAGATTGTGATAATTCACCGTTCGATGGTCTGTAGGGTGCTAACATACTTTCAGTTTATAAAAAGGTAATTATCACTGAAAAATGCAGCATATCAAAGACGAGGGAAGAAGAATGTCATGACTACAACCATGTTGAATGGAAAATTCTAATACACTGAGTCTTCTAGAAGTCTCATTTAAGCAATACCTATCTGATCAGTAAGACCTGTCTCATGATGTGGCAGTGTGTGACTTTTCAGTATGGGAACTGTAGAGATGGTTTAGCTGAAATGTATCTCTTCTAGGTAATTATACCAATAAAACCACAGAAACTCATGTCGAACTCTAGGACACCTAATGATGTGCTTTTGCTTTGGAAAATAGTAGGTGTACATAATGAAGAGTTATTAACTAAAGACAGTGAACAAATCATCTCATCGGTTTTTATAAAAAATATCAAACAAGAGGAAAGCCAATTTACTTTCAAATATTTACGTAAAATTACAGTAGCTAAAAGAAATTGCGTAGTGATCTGAAGAATGATAAAACCTAGTGGAAATAGCTTGAAAATGAAAGTATCACGGTTCATTGTCCATACGACACACATAAAACGTATTAACAATGACTAATTATGAAGGATTAAAAATTAGAATGGAAATTTAAGCCCATGGTAGATTGAAGATTTTTATATAGTTGCTGTTGAATTTAAGCTTGAATAATTGGAGTGATAAGGTCCTTGTCTCATGTCTGTCTTTGGAATGACTAGCTTGATACTATGGATAATTCTGAAAGGTGACTTTAATGGGATCACTTAACCAAAGTTAATGAAGTGTTCAGGTATTCACTAATTAATTGGTTGATATTCTTATATTTTGATAATAATGCAGGAATATGTTCAGAAATGCGTTTAAAAAGATGTTGCCTTGCACGACTGTTGATTTTGAATAAAAACAAATATAATATTTTTCATGTGTCCAGTGTAATTAGCTTTATAAAAACAAGCAAAGTAAGGGAGTCTTTGAAAGTCAATTTTTCTATTTATTAGCGTTCACCTATTATAAATAATGCCAGTGAATTCTGTATTTTTGATTTCTTAATTTGGTTTCCTTGTTCTAATAAGTTTATATTTTATGCCAGTACTTTTCGTCTATGAAAATAGAAAGACTGTTATTGATAGAAAAGAAGAGAAAGCAGACGTTTTGCACAACTGTTAAACAAGACGACTGAAAAGCTTACCTTGAAACAGATTCGTTATGAGGTTTATATACTCTAATTCATCTGAATAATTTCTGGAAACATGATTTTGCTTTTTTCTCAGATTCGAACAACAAATAGTCAAAATGTATTAAGTTTTTATGAAACATTCATTTATTCAATCAATCACTAACCATCTATTGTTTCTATCGTACGAGTTGGCTAGTACGCGTTCGTTTTAGAGTTGTCTTCCTATGATCATGTGAATAAAAATAGGTGTAAATATTTTAATGACAAGTTTGCTGTTTAAACAGAACACCTGTTTTATTGATGAGGTTAAAGTGGATCAAAAAATTACTATTTGTGTGTTATTTTATAAACAGCAATTCAAACGGTTCATTTTTTAAAACTAGATATCAATAATCATGCCTAACTGTGCTTTACTGGGCAAGTGATTAAATATTATTTCTTATGATACTAACACTAATTTTGACCTATCATTTGTAAGTATTTTTGAACTACTTGTAAGTAGTACAATCCTTCTAATGTAATGTCACGATTGTTTTCAGGAACATGCTGAACATATGTTCAACGTTAACATACATCCATATCTGAGAAATTTCAAAAACTTTGAGTGTGAAATATCTAGAAGATATTAGATTGATGGTTTTCTAGATGATGTCAGTCCATCATAAAGACTTCCTTTAGATTTAGCACCACTACAAAATTAAAAACACCCGGAGTTTGGTCAATGATTTATTAAGAAAAATAATTTTATTATCAATAATTTGTTAACCGAAGTGCTTTTTATTAATTAGGCATCAAACCACTTGGAGCATCAGCAACAACCGAACAAAATACATTATATTCAGATTCAATCAAGATATTCAAGATTAAGTATAATCTTAATAAACAAAGAACAATTGTAGTATATTAATAAAAATCCTTTTTTTGTCGCATATTTTCTCTAGTTACTTACAACAACATAAAAACAATAATATTAATACTTCAAAACGGGAAAGTATACCAACTTAATACCAGAAAGTTCAGATTAATATTGTAGTTGACTTAGGTGTTGCTTAATAGCAAGACAATAATTATGGAAAGATTAAAATTTCATTCACATATATGCTTAATTTTAAGCTAGCAATGTAAATATTTTAGAAGATAAACTGGGGAGTGCATAAAGAAAGAAATATATAAATGGAAAGATGCTATAGCTTATGTTATATTAAATACGAAAACACAGTCGATTAACTATGTAAAGCATAAACAAGGAATTATAGTTAAAAGTGCTGAAAGGAGACACCTTTGGCGCATATTGACAGAAGCTATCTGGATTCATTCTTTACTAACGAAAGTAGGTTGAAATAAATGAATCCATAATATTCTGATATGATTACTGTTTTTGTTTTATTAAAATTTACAAAAGAGATAGATTGTGAGAAATCTAAGTGTTGATTAAATTCTTCAGTAGATTTTAAAGAGTGATTTAGAATGCTCACTGAAACTAGGAATAAATAACCAATTAGAATTGTATGTAGTTATTCTTTTTCGAAATTCTTACATTAACTATAGTATTACCGACTGTGTATCTTAATTTACAGCTTTTTTATAGTGACTAATTAGCGGAAGTTATCTTTGAGCAACTTTTGTATGATGTCCTTGTTAGACATATACAAATAAAATAAAAATCACTTTGAAGAGTTGTGGTACACAGCCAATTTTTTCAAAAATAAAAACAGTTGTCGGTTAATACATATATGTGATTTTCGAGTAAAGTACTGGATCTGATCTAATGGTATTTTCAGGAGCGTATTTATCATAAAAGTTCAGAACCCAAATCCTTCAATTATCAACCAACAGATTGTGCAAATACATAAACACTAATATTTTGTATGAGACATACATACACGATTGGGATCTTAAGCGATAAAATCGGTATAAACGTTATTCAATCGCTACAGAGCTGTTGTAAAAGCTAAGCGAACTTCAGGAAAACTGTTACAAACATTCTCAATGATTAGCGTGATGAGATTCCGATCGTCATTTTGTATGAGACATACATACACGATTGGGATCTTAAGTGATAAAATCGGTATAAACGTTATTCAATCGCTACAGAGCTGTTGTAAAAGCTAAGCGAACTTCAGGAAAACTGTTACAAACATTCTCAATGATTAGCGTGATGAGATTCCGATCGTCAAAATCAATGAATAGAATGCCAATCGATAGATAAGCTCGACGATATGATGTAGCTTCTCACGTGATCATACTAGTGACTCAGGCCCCCGAATGACTACAAACTGAAGATAGCATCACTAGGCAGATAAAAATATTTTTATGTACAGAACATGAGCATATGATGAAATGTTATATGCGATTGAAAGAGATAGGATATAGGTCACTCGTTCTCCAACAAATTAAAACCTGACTGTTAAGTCAAATCTTCGGACATCGTATCACAAACTTAGTATCATCCCAACGGACCTCTAAGTCATGAGCAAAACGTACTTATGCTATGTTCCTGATGTAGAGCATATTATGAATAGGTATGTTAAGCAAGAATAACAAATTAGTGATCCTAATTAACGTGAATCAATTGTAAATGGAATTTCTGATTGCTCTTAGTATAAATTCATCATCAGATTCACATTACTTGTGGGACGATAGTGACTTCCGTTTCGTCCGAATTATGCCTTACTGATCCTTTTGGGATGATAAGATTGGAACACTTTCGACCGGTTATATTAGTCACGAGGAAATTTAATTATATCGGTTTTTTCAGCCGACAATCTAATTACGTAATACATCGCAGCAAAATACGATATATATCCGGACTATCGCTGTAATACCAGGAAAGTGCCCATGAATAGTTTTGACCCCATACTGATATAAAATACCGATCACAATACTAATATGGTTTTATTTATATGACACACAAGTGGGTTACCAAATTAAATAACGTTTTCTGACAGTCTATGAACGAAAGAGCTAATTTAGGATAAAACTGATATATATATATATATATATATCATGTATCCAACTTATATACATAAATATTATGCGCTCGATCATTTCACGCAGTATTATGATTACTTAAACAAGAAGTAGTCTAACCAAGCAGTTGGACTTCAGTGATGGGTTGAATTACCGATACATACTTAGTTAACTTGAGAATACCTGGGAGAATTCAACAGCCTTTAACCTTTGTTGATCATTGTTACGAATTATTTCATTCTGAACGTAGGGCGAATAAACATCATGCAAACTCTAGTTTCATGGTTAACTAGTAGGGGATCTATTCAAACTGTTTGGCGACTGTTAGTATCTCGACGGTACGTAGAACACATTTCCTTTATTTGATGCATGAAGAATTCAGTAGAGTGAAGAAAGTTGACCTCCATCTTGATCTATTTCGATGCATCAACATTCAACTCAGATTACGTTGCAAACTTCTTGCACATTTTATATATAATAACCACTTATAACTTTAACCGCATAAACGGAGGTTACAGGTGATTAAGACAAGTCAAAAAGTTATCTACATAGTATCGCTTATCACAATACTAAAGTTCGAAATTCCATTTCTATATTTCAAACGAAATTTCAAAATTTAACCACTGTACAAGAAAAATTACAGTAAAATCAAGATACTGTACAGTATGGAAATCATGACTGGAAAATGTGAATTTTTATTCCACATAAGTATATGAAACAAATGGTATTGATTGAATGCTCTGTGGACACAAATCAGGTGATATGCATCGCTTTTTAGAAGATATTTTATAATCGTCCTTTAGAATTCCAGCAGCGAAATCTGCATCTTCCTGTGAATAGAAAAAATGGAACCAAAAAACGTGTCAGTATTTATTTATGAAAAGGATCATCATATGAACAATAAATCTTAGTTGTGAGGTTATTTTATGATATAATATCCGAGATAAATATCGGTTCACGAGAAATTTAGCATTCGACCATCTGGGATTAAAAAATAATTCGGGATAAATGCTTTGATTGAGGCCAACTTTTGTTAAAAAATTAGAAACACCAAACATTACCGACTGATCTTAAAAAACGATTGAGAATCAGAAAGAACTAAACGGCTTTTTCGTCGTATTATGGGGACATCTCAGAAGTATGAATGAACAGCCCCACCGGCAACCGAACCCGAAACCTCCCGGCTTCACAGAGACCGTCTAACCGTTTACGCTCCTAACCTTAGCTGATTCACTAGGTCGCACGACCCTCATCCGTTGCCATAAGTGATATTCTATGTATCATAGATGAGCACTGTTGAGAAGTCCCACACTAAGACAAATCGGCTGTCCAGTGATACCTGGTTTTTAAGTTTTGTCTAATCAAAATTGTTCCGTGATGCAATACAAGGAAATTCAACAATCGGCACAACCCCATATACTTGAAAAATAGTTTTTACTACTTTAAATAAATAATGCTACGTGTGAATATATTTATTTCCGTTACTGATAAATAACATACACTGAAAGTAAAACTATATTCAAACCTGTTATATCCTAGTGAAGATTAAAGTACGGGTAACTCCCGGGATCTGTTAATTGATTATCGTTCTATATATATATATATATATATATATATATATTAGATTGTATGTATCTATATTCCCCTTATCATAAGCTTCATTTTGACCTATAAACTATTATTATACGATTTACTGTTCCAAAATTATGTTCAGTTTATTAGTTACCGTCTCCCACGTTCACAGCCACATTTTGGCTTGATCTTGTACAAATTTTATTTTCTATTTTCAGGTGTGATGAGGTCTGTTTTGCTGGTATATAAATCAAGTATGCTTGAAATAAATGATTCGCATAGCAGGAGCTGTTATTGGTGTTCTGGACTCAACTGGAACGGCTAGGCGGATAAAGGACCAATAAAGACGCTAGGCTGCTCATACCGGTCGAACGTCATTTGTTTGGCACAGTGCTAAGATTGGATAAGTCGTGTTTCGATTGATGGGTAAATCACGTGATAAAAAGCCGGGCATAAATTCACAACAAAACCCATCATTGCGATGTTTAGAATTTTTAATACGGTTGACCTGACTGATTAGTGTAGAACTCCGTAAATATATGTGCGAGTCATCCTACTTAAAAGAGGTTTGGAGAATAGCATGTGAATAAAAAGTAGGAGTAGGGAAAGGGGATTGGTGGAAGTGCATCAGTAGGAGTCAACTCCCGCTCTTCACACTCCATGACGTTAAACAATACATACATATACTTCTCACCAAAGACAGACATTTTAACCATCATATTTTAGTTAACGTTTACAACTACATGGAACGATCCGTTAGTAACAGCGCTCCCGAACATCTTAAACTTCATATGATCTACTAATAATGCCTATATTTTGTAATAGATGTACGGTTGAACACTAATATTCTTCTGATAATTGTCAAAATGATTCAATAAATATGTTAACAAAAGTGGTTCAAGGAGTAAAAAACCCCTGTTTATATCACTTCACAACTATTGTTTTAAAATGTATGATACCTGTTTAAGTCAGTTTGATAAAAGAAATATAGACATAACAGTTTCCATTATACAGTGAAACTCAATGCACACACCATTTTCTTTTTAGCTCTAAAGCGTTTTTAACAAACACTTGTTCATGTTAAATTAAAATGTAAATTATCTAAAATAACTAGGTTTTCAAAAAATCATCACAACGATTACCAAGGTGAAACTCGTCACAACTCCCCGAAACATTCATAGACTAGTAACAATGGAAGTCTAAGCTAAGTGATATTACATTGGAATAGATTGGATTTTTAGTGGGAAAGCTTCTCATTGGTATCCTTAGACAATCCATATTGGAATCTGCCCTAAATACTAGTTCTGTATGTATAACTTATTTTGGGGGGCCTGAGTCAGATGGCCCTATGAAGTTGATTTTTTTAAAAGTTGAAAGTTATATATATGATCGGTAAAAAACATCAAAGTTACGGGTGGACCTGTGTTGATGGAGACGCTATGATGAACCCATTACTTTCTATCATTGTTTAACATGATTCCGCGGCTTTACAAAATAGAATTTACGTGTATAAATCATTGTTAAATGACTGTCGTATGAACATAAAGTATGAGGCATACTCAGTCTAAAGACTGTCAATTACAGTAACCATTATATTAATGTGACAACGACGTGGAAACTTTGATTTACAGTTATGATCTACCTTGAGTGATGTGAAAACCTGGTCAGGTTTATGTACAAAATTCAAGATTTTTAATGAACCGTCAGTTTATATTGGGGGATAACAACATTCACTGAAATATGGTGCGTTAGTTGCTATTAAAAAGTGTGCTCCTTTTGTGATGTTGTTTATATTACTGATTAGCCACCAATGAAAAATATATACAAATAATGAAGTGAAAGGTGGGAAATAAAGCTGTTGCTTATAATTAGATAAATTATTGAACTCACTTGTGTATGTGGGGGTTCTTCAAGAGACTTTAACCTTCTCTTATGAGGTTTCTGCTTCTTGTGAAGATCAAGAGTAATCTGATCAATAAAATACTTGTCACAAAAGATACAAAAGAATTGACCAAGACCAGGCTTATCTTCGTCTGGTTCCGTAGCTTCACTAACTCGTTTGGCGAAATTTTCCTCTTTGAGGTCACTAGATATCTATAACAATTAAACAGATGCCTATGATTAGAACGGCATTATAAACTATGAGTTAACTACAAGTAATGAATTGGAAGGGTAATGATAATACTCCACCTGAAGGATTGGATCACAGATTTGAATTTCACCTCAGTTACTTCATCTAAAAGGTGCAGATGAGCACGTAAAACCACATATATTCAATCTTACTAAATGATATCTAACAAACATCTGTGATCACTTTCATTAAGTTTCACAAATACTTCCACAGGTTAGATTAGTTCGGTGTTTCTTTATTGCTATTTACTAACGGTTAAACTTTATAACAGATTTGATTTAGTAGAAATTTTTCTGATACTATATTTTGAAAATGAGTCGAAGATGTATGTAGAAAAACCTTTTCCACTCTAGTTGATGGATATCAATAACTTTATCAACTTTTTACTTCCATTAAGTAGCGAATTCGTACTGTCTAACTGGAAACTTGTACTACAGGATTATGAGTGACTGTACCTTGAGTTAACCATCACTAGCCATAGATTTTACAGTCGAAACAAATACTAATATCCCCAAACACTTAAGATACTTCACGCTTTAGAGTGGTTGTTCACTGGTTTAAGCATTCGGGTTTTAAACATTGGGTCATAAGTTAAAACTTCACTTCATCTAAGTCAATCTGTACAACATTCCTACAATACTTGATTTTAACCTTGATGCATGGATCGATAGTTGATCATTGAGTTTAGTATTATAAGCATTACGCCAAAGTTGCTTTTTTTATACTAAAAGAGGTAAAATCGGATATGGATTATACTATCTACAAAACAAATTGATTATATGACTGATGATCCAAAAATACACTATAATTAGCTTCCCAGAACGGCAAGGATCTAAGTTGACGATTACTAACTGGAAACAGCAATTGCTGTATTAAAAGCAACAGAATATATATGGGCTAACAATGGGAATCTATGCTACGATTTAAACCAACTGACACTTAACATTCATAAAAGTCGAATCTTGTATGAACTCCCAAAGTCAAATAAAATAATGTTACCTGGTCGATATCCCTTGTACGATTTTTAACTTTATAGCGAGCATTACGAACACCCTTTCGGCCCATGAATTAGTAACCACAAGTGGGTATTTTTAAATAGTTTACAACACGTTGATGTGGTCTCTGTAAAGTGCAAAAATAATGTATTAGTGTTAATCGAGTATTACATGACTCCAATCTGGTGTTCAAGATGGCTTAATGCAAGAATAGCTTGGTTAGACGAGTAGTTCACTAGATTTTAAATATTTGAAAAAACTAAGAGTTTCCATCAAAGGAAGGGAAAAAAACTACTTCGGTGTCACAAATAAAATTTTATAAACTTAAGAATGGGTTAATGCTGCTGACAGTAAAAATAACGATAAATCATTCTATATTTAGCACTACTGGTTTCCCATTTATAATTTGTCACATAAGGTCTGAAATAAGAACAGCTGTTGAGACAGTGTTTGTTGATTCATCACAATCACCATCCCTAACTACATATGTGTTTATGTCTCTTAGTCGTTTGTGTGAGAGTTCTATCCATAGACTGACTAGTTTCTTTGTGGCACCTAAGTACACTATGTGCATTGGATCCAATAGGAAAGTTGAGATCATATTAACTGCAAGCACTTCTAAAACAGAATGGCCTTGATTGTGAAGAAACATGAACACATGTGTAATTACGGATATAAATAAGTTACTTTCTGGTTGTGTGACAAGTACTCCCCCCGACTTTCAGCGTAAATGCCGTACATTAGACTTGGTATCAGTATGAAAAGTTTCAGAGTGTCGATTGTTTCTACTATATTTAAACCCCGTAATTTTGCAACAAACTTTGCACCTTGATTTCAAGCGTTTAGCGTTAACAATTTATTTGCTCGCACATCCAAAATTACATAATGGCGTTACTGAAGCCGTCATGATGGATTTATGGAACTTTCTTAAAGAATATGAATGGTGTTATGGGTCTGAAAACTTAGTTTATAATGTGCATTTGTTGCAGCACCTTCCTGGCGATGTTCGTGCACATAGACCATTAGGTAGTTTTTTAGAATTCCCATTCGAGTCTTACATGAGACAAATTAAGAAGTCAGTGCATAGCGGGTATGCTGTTGCCGAGCAAGTGGCTTAACGTTATGCGGAGAAAATGAGTTTCTGCGGTGGGCTTCCAGCGAGCATTTCGACTAATAGTACACCAATGACCGGTAAGGTTGACTCACACAAACAAGTAATCGTGTATAAGAATACGAGAATATAATTGTCAGCTGAATGTTCCATTTCATTTATTTGCGAGAGGGCTGTGATACTGCCCGGGTGCTGAAACCGAAACAGGTGGTTTTCTTAGGGGGCCACATCCCGAGCCTTTGACCTAGAGGTCTAATCCACAAGACAGTGGAGCATCGTGAGGAGATGCAGTCCCATGGTAGCCGTTGACCGACAACAGGTTCATTCGCCATTCATTCCATCAGGATACTGGAGCCCATGTGCACCATTGGTTTGGAATCAGGGTTTTCCAACTCCCCTAGGTGGATCCTCCACATCCACCAACCCGGTTATAGCGCCGGACATTCGCTTTTCGTCCTCTCACTTTCGTAAACAACACCCCCGCCACGAGAAGGCAGTGAGTAGGACTTCCCTGTCAGAGGCTATATATTCGCGTGGCCATGTGAGAGCATTTCGAGAGGGAGTGGACTCTCCCCACTCTCGGCCGTACCAGGGCATTTGGGGGCAAACAGGAAAAAAAACAAGAATACTAAAATAACTTTATTTCGGCTGGATAATGTTGTACTAGTACACGGAAAGCGTGGTTTAGTCACTGTAGGGGAGAATGGATTAATGAAATCTGGGCCATTCACAGACCCACGCAGTTACTTCGAAGATCCCTTCCCTTATAGTAACATAGGGATATTTGTGCTTGGTAGTTAGTCATGAACATACATGAGTTTTCGTTAAGGATATTGACTGTAAATGTATTGCCATTAATTGTGTCCATTATTTCGTTATTGTACCATAGTTACATACTTATATGTGAATGTATTTTGTTTCATTTGTGCCGAAGGTGTGACCATAAACCGTTTCCTTACCTCTTGTGTAATATCTAGCCTGCTAACAAACAATACGTCATTGTAGACGCACCAGGCAAGAAGCAACTTATCATAGCAGCCAAGCAGTCGATTGTTGGTAGAGAACTTTGTCTCTTTCCAACGGAGCTTGCTGATATGCACTTGCAAAATAGTGACCGATCAGATGACAATTGGTCAGTCCTGAAGTGTAAGGTCATTCACGAATGCGATGGGTCACGAACATAGAAACGATCATCCCTTATAGATAGTCTCCAATCTGCAAAGCACTTGATTACCTTCAAAAAATTAAATGTTTACAGTATAAACAGCTTAACGGACGAAAACACTTTGCTACTAAACACTCAGAAGCTGAAGAGGTCAACACAATAATCTTATTAACATTTTGTGGAGGTGCATTGAAACGTAAAGAAGGATTTCTTTACAATTCCATTGACATGGATGTGGCCGAGATGCAGGCTGCAAATAGCCACGTCCAATATCTCAAATTTCGGTTGTTCGACAGTGTCGTCTCGACGATTGCCAGGCAGGCTTGTTTACTTTTAATTTACTAGTTCGACACAATTGGATACGCCGCCATCAACGTTCAAATCTAGGCGTATAGGCAGTACGTTAGCGGCCGAGTAAGCCACGTCTGATTGAGTTGTTTTTGAGATTTGATAGACTGTATACTATACTGCAGAACATATCGTCGGGTATTTCTGACTTGAGTGACAATATGAAGCAGCTACTACCGAAGTCCTGTGAGCGTGGACATCCGTGGAAATTCGATTGCGGACTATCAAGTCAACAGTTCCCTTTGTCATTTGAACAGGAACTGGGGGTGTTGGACGCTTATCTTCAGCAGAAAGACATAAGGGACAGATTTGTAAGCCAACAAAATTAATTTGATCACTTTTTCGTATTACAGATGACCATGTTGATGCGGTTAATGGGTGATAATCCCGAAACATCAATGCGATATATTTTGTCATACATCATGATACCTGAAATTACCAGTCATTTCGCGCTACTTGGCACTTCATCGAAAATAGCACTTCAGAAGTGCAGGTTTTACGGCTGCATACGAAGTAGGATATGTTTTCTAAAACTTAATGTGCATTAACTAATCGGTTTCTGTCATCATCTGTCAACGAAAAACAGCTTGCTAAGCTGTATGACATCGCGATTCAAGGTTATTTTCATGACATGAGAGACAAATTACAAGACCGTCACCAAAAAACAACAAACAAGAACATACATGGACTAGTTTGAAGTGATAACTATTCTCTACTGTTCTATAGATACAGTCTTCAATGTTAACGAACATAACAGTAAGTAAAGCTTCACGTAGCTAGTTGTGTTAAAAAGGATGTCATTTAGATATCGTTGAAACATTTTTGTTCTTTCAATCTCAGTATTCACAAGATTATCTTGATTTTCAATAGGTGTTACAGAAAGAAATAACCAGTGGAGTGTTTTTCATGATCAACTTTGTTTTCAATAAACATGCGCTTACTTTCTTACTTGCATAGAGAACTCTTTGACTGGGTGTTGAGAAAGCCTGTTTGATTTTAAATGCAATTGAAATTGAGTACACGTGCCTAATTAATAGTACATAACCTGCTCCTCCTTTTGTAGATCTTTTCAAATTACAATAAGACTTGGCAATTACAATTAAAATACATAATGATCAATGCCCTAGCATCTGTCAACTACTCATAATGTTGCACAATATGACGTTTTTCCTTTTCAATAATTTTTTTTTAAACATCTACCTTTTTCAACGTCATTTGCAGCTCTAGTGTGGTGTGTTATGGAAATAGGAGCGAACACAGAAGACGTTTGTGATTACGTCAAAGGTGTGTTAAAAGTTGAGGCAAAATTAGATAAACCGGAGTGTTTCGAAGGGAAAAGTAGACAATTCAGAGATAATTGAGACGCATGGCGAAAAAGCGGACATTTTGGCGCGTTTACCTATTACTTCTTTATTCTCCAACGCATATTCCACTTTTCTCGTCTTTACTGGTTGCTTGAAGAACCAGATTATATATATATATATATAGAAATTCGAAACGCATTCAGTGACTATTTATATGACTTTAACTTGAGACATTTCGTGAAATGGTCGTGTATGAAGGGAGAGCAATGCAGAATGATGGAGACAACTTACATGATGATAGGAAACGCAACAAATCAAATGGTGCGGGGTGATATAGCCCGTTTGTACATTATGTTTTCAGTCTTCCGTAATAAGGATAGGAGGTCTACCGACTTATATTATTCGTCGTAGTGTGTAACACTGTGGTAGTCCAATCTTGTTTTGAATATATTAACAGAAGGTGCTTATAATATGTGTTCTTGTAGAGAATTTCAGCTATTCACTACTCGTTGTGAGAAACAGAACTCCAGACGTAGATGATTTGATCATGATTTTTGAACTTTGGTCAAATGTCTACCAAAACGACCAGTCTTGGACGGAAGGAAAAAAAGAGGACATATTAAATTCCAAGGTCATAGTTCAGTATACGATAAACCGCGTACTCTACAGTAAGATAACGGAAATAAATTTTTGGTTTCAGTCTGTCTTCATAAGATAGGCCGAAGATCCCTTTAGCCACTTTGATCCCACGTCGTTGGAGTCATCCCAGTATATCCGCCTCATACTTGAAACAAAGATTCACTGCTTGAATACCATATTCCAAATGCGGTCTCATGAAAGTCGGGCTTATTAATCTAAATATTTCCTCGTCCAAATATTGAAAAGACCCACGAATAATTCATAATATTCTATAGCCTCTCTAAGCAGCAGCCTTGCAGTGACTAGTAGTTTTGAGATAAGTGCTAGGCATGACTCCTAAATCTTCATAGTTTCTTGCTTTTGGCCACACAAATCCACGTGTTGTGTAGTGATATGAATCATCATAGTTATTTTATTTCATCACCACACTCTTTCTAGAATTCACTTTTGGTGGCCATCCGTCCATCCATGCCACCATTGAGTTGAGACCATCCTGCAGTATT